CAGTCTCAAGATAGATATGAAAGGCCTCTGTCGGTCATTTACATATTAAATAATTATGTATGTTAACTGTTCGCCTATTTATGTAACATTGATTCAGATTAGTGCCATTGTACCCTCTATCATTATCAGCTGTTTGCTAATTTTGTCTTTATTTTATTGAGAGAGTGTAACTCGCTCTAGTGTCCACACAACTTTGTATCATAAAAGGCAGTAGACGTCTGACACTTGCTTTTGTAATCTAGCACCATTGTGTTGCTTTCTGACACATCATGGCGACAGAGGCATACTAACTATGAGTTATAGCTATAGGAACTGAACATTGCGATTTTTTGGTATCCTTTGGTATTAGAAACGCTGTCCCTCTTCCACATCACTTACGATTACAGCACAATTCTTACGATCTATACGTATATTCGAGTATTGTGACTTGTGACAAATCTAAGTCCAATTTATTAGTTATACAGATTGCACTTAAAAAGTGAATTATGTTCTCTTTGTTGCTCAATAGTAATTTGAAAAGTGTGTGAAGCTTGACTGATTTTGATCGGGGTTGGTGTTGCAGCGAAGCACTATTACTCTAATCATATTAGATGAAAATATCCCTGGTTAGGGAAATAATTGTAAAGTCTGGATTTATTGCTGCCAGTTCTTCAACAGGGTATTCAAAACATCGACACATAAAACGGATACACCAATTTTTGTGGCAAAACTTTATTCGACAACAAAGAATGAGAAAACGTATTTTTTGGGATTCAATCGAAAGTACTGGCAGGTACGAAAAAACTCTTCATATAAGATTTTTAGGTATTTATGACAACTACAAAATAAGACCACACGTAAAAATATCCGACTAATAGCAAAAACTTATGGCCGAAAACCGAGGCAGACTGCAGGTTTTTGGCACTTGTTGGTAATGCGACGATGGTTTCTCGCAGATATTTGAGATTTTTCAGATTCGTAGGATTCGTACTTCTTAATAACCACAACAAAATTGGAGTAGATTGGTCAAGTAGTTTTTGAAAATTTCTAATTACTTATTAAAAAAAAAACACCTGTTTTCCTGCCATCACTACTAGTTTATTGAGCGATATACAGGGTTAGTTAAAAGGGCATTTTATAGCAAAATACACTAGTTTACCTTGCCGATATGAATCGCAAACTATTCCGGTAGATAAATGTTATTTTTATGCAAAAAAGGAACAAATTCAATCATTTCGTATTTGTGAGTAATTCGCAACAAATGATACACACATCCGCTTTGTTTTAAAATGTGTCAAGTAACGTATGTATTTCGAATATCGTAGCGCATTTGTTTAATTACTCACATTACGAAATGTTTGAATTTGCTTAGAACAAAAAACGTAACCTGTGTTTTTTGCATAAAAATAACATTTATTTTTCGGAATGGTTTGTGATTCATATCGGCAAGGTAAACAAGTATATTTTGCTATTAAATGCTCTTTTAGCTAACCCTGTATATTGCTCAATAAACTAGTAGTGATTGCCGGAAAACAGGTGTTTTGGGATAAACAATTAGATATTCTCAAAAAACTACTTGACCAATATACTCCAATTTTGCTGTTGTTTTTTAGAAGTATGAATCCTACGGATTTGAAGAATTTCAACAAGTTGCGTGAAATTATCGTCGCATTACCAACAAGTGCCCAAACCTGCAGTTTGAATCGGTTTTCGGCCATAAGTTTTTTGTTATTAGTCGGATCTTTTTATGTGTGGTCTCATTTTGTAGGTCTCATAAATACCTAAAAATTCTATATGGAAAGCTTTGTCATTCCTGTCAACACTTTCGATTGAATCCCAAAACACACGTTTTCTCATTCTTTGTTGTCAAATAATAATAATGATAATAATAATAATAATATCGTCTTTATTTACAAGGATACAGAGTGTGTTTCATTATGGCGAAGTTTAGCTAAAGCTACTCTTACACTTAACCATATGAATACGAAAAAAAAGATGGTATAGGAGATACAAAAAAAAATAAAGTTTGGCTATTACAATGTCATAATAGTATTGAAAGCAGTTCAATCAAACAAGCAACTAATTTAAATGCCTACAAGCATATGTGCCCATAAACTAACTTATAAATATGTATATTATTATCAAAAATTAGAAAAAGAAGAAACATTATAATGTAGAGCTCTGTAAATATAACCTAACATGCTTACGGAAACAAGACAGATTCATGGTTTTGTAATCATCAGGAATATTATTGTAGCGACTAGCAGCATTATAGGAAAATGAGCGTTGGAAAAGCTTTTCGGGGGAAATTTGCTAATATGATTATAGTGTATGTTAGATGAACCGATGAACGCCTAAATTTTAGATAGAAATTTATGAGAATTGTTTAGCGGTCTGCCTGTGGCCTGTCCAGAAAATGCGTCGATCGATGATCCCGCGTATGTTTCTATTTATGTTGATATATTGAATTCGTTTAAATCACAGAGCTTCTGCACTACACGTGAATATGTACAGCCATGTATTCCTGTACTTGTTTCGTACAAACATACATTATCAAAATAATTACGATCTAACAGATATAGTTTTTTCCAAAGATTTAGAACATTTTTACATGCGATCAACACCGATTCGAAAACTGAGGAAATAACTATGCCGTAAATCTAAGTTCGACAACGAAAGTCTGAAGAATAACTGTAACATCTATATTAAATTTCAAAAAATATTAGACTATACCTATTGATATTTTTATCACCTGCTGATACAATAGAAGTGCTTGTGTCAGTATTTGCACCAATTACTTGATTTGTTGAATGGGTAGTTCAGAGTCTTAATCCTTAAACTTAGTACACGCTAGTAGACCCCGTTGCGCAATTTGTCTATAGGCAGTCTGGAGACAGTCTGAAGACACGATCTATAGATGGTATATAGACATCCTTCTTTGTCTCGCCTAGCGTCTATTATATATATATATATATATATATATATATATCTATATTTTTCGGTCTCATGTTCGTTTTCGCCATCAAAGACGTTTTTTTCGGTTAACAGAGCAATTAAGTTTTTTATGTTTTAATCTTTAATAGATATTATTACACTAGTTAATTATAAACGACACGTACTTCTTTTGTTCTCATATAATATTGCATTTCTGATGATTACTGAGGCTTTTCCATGTTTTTTTTTCAAGCTGGCTTTGACCAGATAGAGCACAATGGATTTAAGGAGCAATAAGAGGATAAATTGTAAAAGTTCCACTGAGGTTGAAAAATTACCAGCCCCAAATATCGTTTGCGCCTTCCCCTAGACGAAATACTAAATCCGCCCTTGATAAAACTCCGTTTCTCTGGGCCCCAAATACAATTAAATACAATAAATTCATAGAAATAAGGGTCATTATAAGACTGATATTCAGACAAATATTTGATATAGGCTCAAATTGAACCTATTTCTTTAACTAATGTTCGATCTTTGCATGACCTCTTGGTTGAAGTGTTGTAGATGAGTAGGTATGTCAGGCTTGATTGCCCAGATAGCAGACAAAGCTAGGATGGAAAAAAAGGATAAGAAAGAAAACGAGGATGATACCAGAGAGGAGGGAGTGCCTGGGTTGCATTGTTAACTAGGATTTATACATTTTAAATTGATCTGGAAAATGTTGAGGTTTGTTTTTGAGAAACTCGAATTTATTTATGAACTTTTAGTACAGCTCTAAAAGTGGCTTTGGGAGAATTCAGCCAACGTAAAGCGGTCCAAAGGCGCATCGCTTTATGCTGAACAGCAGTAGCAGCGGAATAGCTTTGATAGTTTGCAACATTTAATCAACAAACTATAAAAACTGAACGTCAACCGAAGACTACTGTCAAACTGTCAAAGCTATCCCTGGCGGCTAAACATGTTCAATGATAAAATATTTTATTTACCTGTTTTTCAGGTAACAGCTTATTTGCTTTTGTCGATACTATAAAGTGTTTTCCGATAACAGCAGCAAAAACCTGGAAGACAGACAAAATATAATATTGTACTCTTTACCCATGCCTGTCTACTGGCGCGAAAAATTTCGAAAATGACATTATGTTTTTTGGATGTTATACGACATGTACATCACGAAAAGCCATATTACTAATTTTGATGAAATTATCACATACGGTAACTACTCAACATTTACAGACGCGACACGCGGTCGTTTGGGACGAAGGCAAACAACATGCGCCAAACTCTGTGTCCGTCTGACTGCATCGCCGTCGTTCTTGATCCCGAGTTATAGTAGTTATAGTATCGTGACTGGCGTTTATGGCGTGGTGGAGTGATCTGGTGCAGCGCCAAATGGGTGGGGAGTATTACTAATTGTAATGACCGGTTTGACTGACTTGATCCATCCAATTTTTTTATAGCTAGTTAGCTAGATTAGAGGGACTTAATTGGGATGAACGTAATCATTTATGAACTGATGACAGCGTTGTGTGAAAGTGCAGAGTCAAGCTACTTAACGGCCACAGAATAAGTTTCAGATAGGTATTACATTACTTCAAACTTGAATGGACCTCCCTGACAAGAATGACGAATTGTACTTGAAAAAACTACGTATGTTCAAGTAAATGCTTAAGAATAAGATACATATAAAAATGAAAATATTCACCAGCATAGAAACGGTTGCCAGTTTCGCACGCATTGCATATTAGAATACATATCATGACAAATCCCATCCGATCGTAAATGAAAAGTTCAAAGTTTTTCTATAATCACAATACTAGAACTAATGTGAATTTACAGAATTAGAAATAAGTCAAAGTTTAATGACTATTTGATATTAACACAATCTGCTGAAAGATGTTATATAACTATGCGATTATGAATGTAGTTGAAAGTATATCGTAATAAAGACACGATAGAATGTCTTTGATAAAGTCTATTAAATTTTAAATTATATTAGATACTTGGTAGCTTTCTTGTATCACGTTGAATTATATGACCAACAAATTCTCAGCAAGTGCCTGGCCGATGTAAATTAAATACATAGTCGAATGCAAACTTTTGCAGTTCCAGAAAGCAATTCTTTTTTCACAAGTTCAACAGCAACACATACTGAAATCACACCTGATTGTTGGAGTAATTTTGTGTTTGCTGAGACGTTTTTTATAAAACTGTGTAAATTTCACCTGCTTCATTTTTCTCAAATACAGTGATAAAGAAACTGAAAGGTTGTGATACGTAGGTACTTACTCACTGTCTATTCCGGTTAATATTTGAATTTGTAATTGCACTTACACAGCGTTATTTAATGATAGGCCGTAATTACAAGGCGCATTCCCAAAGCAAATTAAAATGGAAAGTTCCTGTAAACATGTGTCTGGTTTCCAAGATCCAGGGTGTCAAAATTAAAAAAATGTTTCTTAATATCTCAAAGATAGCCTGGAAAGTCAAAAATATGTTCTTAGCAATATTCCTTGGCAACGAACAAAGCTGAATTGTGATTCAGTTTTAATTATCAATTTTTCGACATACGCCTATACGTATATATAGTCAACATAAATAAAGGCGATTATTATTAATATTATTATATGAAAGAAAAGTAAAACTACGCAATCTGGGTTCCGACATACCAAGCTGCTGTTCCATTAACAACTCCTAACACCGTGAGGTAAGCAACAACAAATCGTGTGCCCTAAGTAGACAGAGGTAACCAAGGATGACCGCTTTCTGTATTCTTCCGGCAAAGATGCCTGCCGATGCTCGGCATACCAATGACCATAACTAGCAGACTGACAGCGTGGTTAGGCTGAGGAGCTCCTGATATTTAGTCCGTTTTTCCTCCTCCTTCGAGACGATGTTCACTTCGACCGGAGCCGAAAATTCAATAACGATCATCGCCTTCCATTCGTGGTCGAGAAGGACTATGTCGGGCTTATTCGTCTGCACCAGCTCGACCGTGGGGAACGAGCAGTTCCAATAAATCCGGCATTTCTCGTTCTCCACAACGGACTCATTATCGTCTGGAGCATAGGGCAACACACATAAAGCCTTAATAAGTAATTTGCGTCAGCAGTTTTTATGTTGCTCTTCAGCTAAGCAGGAGCCATCTCTGTAAAGGACTGCTGGCATTCCCGCTTGAATTCGAGTATGAGACTGAGTTCCTCGGCTGCTTTTTTCGTTGCTCTAAAAAGAAAAGCTGCTTTACCAGCATTCTCCTAGAACGCACAAAGCGGATGAGGAGATCGGTACTTCCTCACATCACAGGCAGTGCTCAGTACCACCCTGTCATGCAGATGCTCCAAACACAATAGTCCACGCCCTCCCTGATTTTTTATCGGTGGGCTCTGCTTACACACGCGCCGGTCTTTTACCGGTGTAGTGCTGATTTCCAATATTATTTTTAATGAATCCCCAACGAGTTGTTACAACGTGGTTACTGTACCAGTGTATAAAGCGCCGGAGATTTAAGCGAAAGTTCTGGATTCGTTTTTCTCTTTGGACTCCATTTATTTGAAATCCTCATTCAGTTCGCAGCAAACTTGGCTCCATACTTCTCTAGTAACATTTCTGCCTTTATATATGTCCAAAGTTTTATCCCATAAAACTGGTCTTGCTTCCACTAGCGCAATAAGTATGTCATTATCGATGTTCATCCCTTTATCCATTATAAATGTATATGCAGTAGTAATCACGGCCATTAAATAATAGGTAAGTGTGCAAGCTCCTATTCAAACACGTATGCCTCTATATCCCGGTACAGTGACAATGTCCGGCTGCTAACCGGCTTTTTTCCGGTGCCGGTCGGTGGTCGGCCAGTGTGCAAGCTTCAATGCCCTCCAATGGTTTACTATTAAAATGTGGTAGGCCGATATTTACCGGCCGTCCAAAATCGGTGTGTGTGCAAGTAGCCTTATTAGGATTCACTTCTGTGCACGTTCATTATTTTTCGAGTTTTGGTGTCGAGTTGTCGCAGCTCGTCGGCTGTCCAGTTGATGGCCCCGAAGGTGTAAAATACCACGCTAACCTCCTGGATATGGCGCTGCGCCATTCCAAGGCATGTTCCCATCCACTAGCTGCTCCCCCTCTTCACCATCACCGTATCATCCTTTCTTGAGATGAACCATAGCGCATTTGTCTATTCCAAATTTCATACCAATAGCACGATCATACTCCTGTACTACCCTGAGCGACTGCTGTAAATCGCGCTGTCTAGAGGCGTAAATTTTTAGGTCATCCATATAAAAGATGACCTTGTGCCTCCGGTTGCTGTATCCTCTCACATTTCTCAGCGCAACGGATAACGGAAGCAGTGAGATGCAGAACATCAGAGCGACTTAAAGAGTCCCCCGAACTTTGGTTTCACCAGACGTGATTGTGGACCAAGTCCTCCAGAGCGGCATCAGTTCTTTAATGCATATCACAATTTGATCATCTACCGCAAGCCATTCCAACAGACGCACAATCAGTTCATGAGCCGTCGTGTCAAATGCCCTACGATAGTCAATCCATGCAATCGACAGGTTCATGAGCCATCGTGTCAGATGCCCTACGATAGTCAATCCATGCAATCGAAAGGTTTCGCTTGTACTGCACTGAGTCCTGTGTGACACAGCGGTCACTCAACAGGTTCTCCTTACAGTCAGCTACTCCTCTCTTTGATCCCCGCTGGTCATAAACGCTGAGAAATACCGGGTTTACAGCTTAAGTATTCGCATGTACAAAATTAAAACCTTGTACAATGCGTTAAGATATTTTATTGGTCTGTAATTCTTGGAATCTGGTCCTCGGGAGTAGCACGTTCGGCCCTCGACAAACCAAGGCGGAATTGGCTATCCCTGATTTACCCACAAGTTAAAAATTTCAGCCAAATGCCGGTGGCAACTGAGAAATTCCTTCCACCAGTAGGTGTTCATGCCATCCGGGCCAGGAGCTGCGAAATTCTAAGCACCTATGAAGACACTACAAATTTCTTCCGTGGTTATCGGTTCACGCAGTATATCTGCTAGGGGAGTCCTTTGACAAAAGGCTCAAGCTGCGCCAAGGCCGGAGTTTTTACCTGAAAAGGCTTCGGTCTTTCATAAACGTCCTTCCAGCAGGAACAATTTGTTTTGCTTCAAACCCTTCGCCCGCGCCACCAACGATCTCTTAGCAGCCATTAGCATCCGTATCCTGCTGAGATAATGTTGCTTGAGTACAGCAAGTATCGGCTCATTGAGTGTGCGATGGTTGCGCCTGGGTTCAGAGGCCATGCGGCTCCTCCGAGAGACGCTCATGAAGACCTAGACATTTTGCTTTAGGTCTGCCAACTTTGAGGGCTCCCTGATGTTATGTAATTCCCTTCGGTCATTAAGATCACCAGGTGGAATTACGGTGTGGCTTTTCCTCTCAGCGAGCCGTGCAGTAACATTTCAGCCTGTGTTACAGGAATTCCAGTCTCCGGTGAAGCAGGCTGAGCTGGAGCACAAACATATCCCTGCCTCCGCAGGTACGCTACATAATCCCGCAAGTTCTCAGAGGTAAGCGCGCTATGCTCAGGATGCATTTCGCACCACCTATCACACATGCGAGATGTAGCCCCTACGACGCGGGTCACTGCCATCTTGCCCTAAATCCCGTTCCCAGTGGAGACGGGCGTAAAGGTTTCTCTTCTTTGTGTTGGGAACAATGGAGTGAAGGTCCAGGGTGGTAGTTGGCCATCCAAGACTCCAACCGATTTAAACGTCGCACATGATTTCGCCGGAGTTGACTAAAAATTTGATACTCGTTTTGAATGATTTCAAATGCTGCTGTAATTCGTCCAATTAAGTCTTGCTCTGTTTCTACTGGAGTTTCGTAAACCAAAGACTTTACATGTCCCCACGGGAACGGTGTATTCAGGTTGGAGGAAGACATTTTGAACAATTGTTGTGATGACATAATGTACAAAAGGCAAAAACTAAATGCATTAAATCCTATTTAGGCAATTCATCTTTCTAAATTTTAACGCGTTTTAGGGCCTTAGTGACACCTTTCCGGATATGGGTCCCTGTACTCAAATGTATTCTACTGTTACACTGAATAACCCCTACAAGTTTGATCCCATAGTTCTGAAACACCCTGTGTAGAGTGCCAGCCGAGAGTGCCTCCTGGCATCGGATTTACCCATGCAGTGTCGCCACGCACCAGGTAACCTATTGATGTTGGTCGGACACGGATAATTATTATTATTCATTTTTTGTTGGTCTTTCACCGTTACACACGGGGTTTGTACACAATAGAGGAGGAATTCACTTCAGCCTATTGCGAAGAACTTACGTACTATGTGATATGTTTGTCAAATGCGCTCGAACTCTCTATGTGTGAGTGGAGATTTACAGAGACTGTCTCTTCCACAGCCACTACTACTGGTATTATGCACACATCTAATAGTTTCCAAATATTTTGATTTCAATTGCAAGGTTTTCATACTTTTCAGCCTTCGTGTATTCGGTTTTAATTATGATGGCTGTGAGTGGCACTGCTATGTCGATTATGTATGTTTTTCGTTTATTTTTGTCAATCAGTAGTATATCTGACCGGTTATAGTCAACTGTCTTATCAGTTATGTTATGACTACCCTATCCCAGTACAAGAGGGGCCGACTGATTCTCGAGTACTGGGTATGGTATATATTTATAATATGGCGCGGTTGATTCGATGCGATTATAATTTGAGCTAAGATTGAGTGTATCATTTTGGCTACTTGATTATGCTGGGATAAGTAAGTAGTATTAGCCAACATGTTGCAGGTGGAGGTGACGTCTTCTATTGTTTCACCTGGCGTATGGCAGTTCTACATACAGCATGTATATTCAGTCCTAGTATATGGTGTTCGTAGTTTTTAGTTCAAATAACCTGATCCTGAATATAGAAAACCCTCCTATTATTATTATATAATGAAGTTGTTTTTATTTTTTTTTTTTCGAAAACAAAGTAAGATACGAAGAGATACCAAGAGAACCATTAGCTGCTTAATCCGAAAAAATATAGTTTTGAAAATATCAGTTGCGTACATTTTTTGTCAACATTATGGGTAAGTCAGTGGAGTTCATGATTATCTTCTGGTTAGTGCTAACGTATCAACTTATTGAAATGAACAACATTGCCAAAATTCAATAAAATCGACTCAAGGATATTAATTTGATATATTGATAAAAATCAGTTTTTTGGGCTTGGAAGCCTTGTATCTTGAAAACTACCGTTTTCAAGACGGATGCTTACATGATCTTTGGTTCAGGAATGCGAAACGTGACCAACACCCTGTATAACATTGTCGAAATAAATATGTATATACGAGTATATGAGAGGAACGCCCAATTTTATGATTTTAGCAATACAGACGAGGAACCGTTTCAGATAAATATATTTTTTTTTTCAAAAGTACATTTAGTGACCTGTTTGAAATGGAACTAAATAGAAATCTTTTTTTTTTTTGATGGACGTAAGTTGAGCCAAAAAGGAGTCAGGAAGATTGATCCGGTATTTGCCACACAATGATGTATCTGATACTGATAGACTATCATTTTCTATTCGGTAAATCAGTATCCAGAATCTTACGGTGATAGACATACCGATACAACTACAGTAATAAGTGGCATTGATTTATTTTCATAAAACATCAAAATACTTATCTGAAATGGAACGAATTGCTATCGCACATTCCTTGTGAAACCATCGTTCGAATAGTCAAAATAACAATATCAGGGTGAAAAATTGCAAGAGAATATTTTTGATATACATCATTAACACTCAAAATGAGTTGTTTCCCATATTTCCTGTCACTGAATACGCAGGTTATTGTCGACTTATTTTGTTCGTGTGCAAAAAAACGTATTTGAAATTCGTACATTGAGAGGGAACTCATTTCAATCATCTATATTTACCCACCGTATGAATCAGCCAACAGATTATCTTACGGTAAAAGCCCCATGGACCATTTAAGCAACAGATAAACCAATATTTCCATATAACTCGAAAACTAGTAATTTGCAAGTTAGACAACCTTATACAAAATTAACCTTATGTTCAATGCTTAATAAATACGATGAAATTATGAAAAATATAATTTCCGTATGAAAAAACCGACTTTCTGGGTTTCTCAGTGTACTATTTGTTATCGAAATCGGAATAAAATCTACTAAAGTAGGTCCCGTACTGTAAGAAATACGTTTCAAACCACATGGTAAAGGCACGATAAAAACTTGATATAACTTGTCGGCCTGCATTTGTAATTTTTTACTTAGAATTTCAGATCTCGAAAACGGTTAGATTTATATATAGAATAATATACACAAAATGTATTCACAATCTCGCGTAGAATCCAAGAATTAATTAATATACAGGGTATTCTGTTTGAAATAAGCAAGTTAGTATTTACTTCCGGTACGTAAGTAAGTAAGTGCCACCATTTTAGCAGAATTGCTCCCATCAGTTTATACCATAAACCAACATTTTTATAACTGCATTATAGCAACTTTTGCAGCCTGAATAAGAAAAAATCAAAATCTGTTGAATATGAACCATTGTCCTTTCAGGATATTCTGGGTTTACCTTTACACCTAAATTTAGTCAAAAGCGATGCATTTTGTCTCTTTGATTGCAGCATATTTTACGTTTCATCAACTGGCACGCTGACGCAAGCAAGTCTGTGGATCCTAAGGCACTGTTTACGGTGGGAGGAGCTGGAGAATGGTTAACCACCAACATTTCCTCCGTTACCAGGGACCACTATACTGACCAGTGCTTAGTCGATGCAGGTGAAAGGCCACGAGAAACTTTAGGTAATTTAATTGACGTTCTAAAAATATTTTTCTTTTCTCGATATCCCGAAAAAAATGGGAAATTTTTATATATTATTTTACTTTTCTCACCTGTTTTTCAGATTTTGCACAAACGCGTTAAAACGGAAAATTATCATATCCCGCTGGAAAATTGTATCGAGATAAAGAACTCGAAACTTTATTTTCATAGTATTCCTAACATTTTTATGTAATATTCGAATTTGATCTAAAAAACCTGTTTTCACGTATGCCGAATCATCAGTGGCCTATGAAAAACAGAAGCTTCCTTAAGCTGACAATACATTTTAAGCGTCGATGTATTGACGTGCAGTAGGTTTAAAAAATTAAATATTCGTATTTGAGAAACTTCTAGCATATCAATAAACAAACTCGACAGCTTACGAAACAAAATCAGCGAATAGAGATTGACTTTTACAAAAATTGAGGCTTATGTCTCAATTAGTGTATAAAAATGATAACTAAATGGAATCACGACCCTTCTTATAGCAATTAAACCAAGCTTGCTTCTTTCCAGACATAGTATCAGTCCACAGCTACACCTTCCAAGGCCTTTTCGTTTCGGCAGTATTTGTAGAGTAGAAAGGTTATCAAAAAATAGCTAAACATCTATCTGTGAAAATTGCCAATTTTGGCCTGAAAATCAAGGTTGAAATCGCTTTTAAATAAACAAATCTCAAAATGCTGTTCAAGGTCTTATAGAGCAAGATTTTAACTTAAATTTGAAGACCTCAAAAATTTAAATTTTTGACCGAATTTTTAAGCATTTAATATACCCGCACGGCAACCCAGATCAAACATGTTTAAACCATTTTTTAAATATGTAAATTACATTTTGGCCCAGACAATTTTTTTCAGGTTTTTTAGGATCCTTCCGAGCAAAAACTTCTTCCATTAACTTTTCTCTAAAGCTGACTATTTTCGAGACATAAGCGATTTGATGTCTGAAAAGTCCTAAAAATGGATATAATCAATGCTTAAAAATTAATTTTTACGTCTCCAAGTACATTAATTAAAATTTAAACCTTGCTTTGCAGGTCCCCGATGGGCATCTTGAGTTTACTTTATTTTGAAGCGATTTTTAACCTTGTCTGTTAGGCAGAATTTGTTAACAAATGCAAAATCTGGCAAATGCGCCGACGGAACTGTACGAGTCATGGCAGCCTACATTTCGATCGTTCGGGAATCTGACAGTATACGAAAATATATCGCAAGCATAATAAAAATATTGCTGTATGTTGCCTGCTCACTCTAACTTAGCCAGAGAATGAAGTAAAAATATTGCCCATTTGAAACCGCCATTATAAACATATGTCCTAAAAACTCCCATTACAAGGTGTTCTAAATGTGTATGCTACCGAATGAGGACAAAACATTAATATTGTTCAATAAACCTCTTAATATACTACATACAATTTCAAATGTCAAACTTCACTGCCTTCGTCGTATTTTCAAAGAAGTACGGATCGACGTTTTTCATGCACATTTTACCTCAAATACGAGTAAAATTGTTCAAAATTACAATAAATGTTTCGGCAGTGTTGTAGAAAATATTTTCGTTTTCCTTCTGTTGAAGTCAAAATTTTTACGCAACTGGTGTCGGCACGAAAATTTTTACATGTCTTTGCTATGCTATTAGCACTACATGTACAAAATGTTAAGTCAATATCTTAATCTTTGAAGATGTAATTTTTGATTTCGAAATTATAACTTCTCGCTCATAATTATATGAACGGTTTGTGTTATTTTTTATATGTGTAAATTATGCCCTAGCAATACTGTCACTCTTTCATTTACCACCATGTATACAGGGTGTTCCTTAATGATATGCGAATATTTAAGGTTGTGAATCTACATGAAAAATTAATGTTAGTTTGCTTTATAAACTATGGTCCAAAAGTGGAAATTAATTAATATCTTCAGAACCGCTTCAGATATTTCACTGATATTTAGTACGTAGTGAAAGTTAATAAAGCTGCATATTTTTCAATGCAAAAATAATTTTTAGCTTTAACAGTGGCGTCCGTACGGGTATTGACTTCGATATTTTTTAAGAAAAAAAATAAAAACCGTTCTATTGTCTAACTTGCAAAATTATTATTAATTTAACTGGAAAAATTAAACATGTTAGGGGTAATGAGCAACAACAACTGACATCATAAACATAACATTATAACCAAGGAAATGATTACAAAAATTGTTGAAATTGGCCCCCTTCACTTAGTATGCATGCTTCCGCCCTCCTTCTCATGGAATTGCGCACTCGTTGAAATATCCCTGGAGTGTTTTTTATTATATCACAAGCTGCAACTAATCTTTCTCTTAATTCCTCTCTAGTGTTAATGGGACTTGTGTACACTAGTGTCTTAAGAAAGCCCCACAAAAAGAAATCTAAACTGTTGAGGTCTGGGGACCTTGGTGGCCATTCTTGGGGCCCACCGCGGCCAATCCAACGATTTGGATAAATAGTATGTAAATAATTACGAACCGCTACACTGAAATGCGCTGGTGCACCATCATGCATGTACCACATTGGCGTACCATTTTTTCTTAAAAAATATCGAAGTCAATACCCGTACACACGCCACTGTTACAGCTAAAAATTATTTTTGCATTGAAAAATATGCAACTTTATGAACTTTCACTACGTACTAAATATCAGTGAAATATCTGAAGCGGTTCTGGAAATATTAATTAATTTCCATTTTTTCCCTAAAACTTCAACACCCCGAGTTTTTGTAAGGAAACATTTTTGGACCATAGTTTATAAAGCAAACTAACATTAATTTTTCACGTAGATTCACACCCTTAAATAGTCGCATATCATTAAGGAACACCCTGTATATTCTGACAAAACTCGCACAAAAATTCTTCTCTTCCTTTCAGTTCAAGCCACAATTTGTGGAATTATTCGTCATACCCCAAAATAATATCTCCATCATTTTGATTCTCCTTTATTTATCTTCATCTACCTCCCTTTTTTGGCATGTTTTGATTTCTGGGTTGCTAGACCTGATGAATTTACAAAATAAGACAATGGTAGCGTTTGCTAGAGAGGTGCTATGTTCTGGTGAACGCGACCATGGACTAAAGAGCTAGGGTCCTAGGACCTCTTAGTGACATGACTAGTAATGTAATATTAGGGTGTCCCAAAAAAATTAATGTAATTTTTTTCAATCGTATACCCTCTAATTGCTTGAACAATGTCAAAACAATTGTAAATAAAGTTTTATTTTATTATATTAACATGTCAAAACTTGCGTATTAGGCTCGCGCTAGGAGCAGTGCTCGTTTGTTATATTAGTAAACTCACTGTTTTCGTTCAGTCAACATATCGAAGGAATTACGCAGTTCTAAAAAGGGGATATTTTTTGTAGAGGACGTAAAGCATCAAATTACGGGTTCAAAACTTCCCCTAATGGACAAGTACAAGCAGTTTTGTTCTATGATATCCGGGAAGTAAAATTAAGTGTCAATGAGTGCATTATTTACTGGGAAAGGTACGTATACCGACTAAATCTCTACCTAACTGTGTTAAGAAACTAGTTATCTTATACCAAGTTTGGAGAGATTTGCATAAACTTGCAAGCAAAACACAATAAGTTTTTGAGCAAGGTCGACAAGAATTTGTTACGATTTTGGGCAATCCGTTTGATATTGCATATGCCAATGCCCTTCAATAAATGAAGATAGGATCTTCTTGCAGCGGCAGAGGAAGCCAGGTCGACCTGGTCATTTAGCTGGGGTAGACAAGAAATTAGCCATAAAAGAAAAAAGGCGCGTCTTAGGAACACCGAAGAATAAAAAAAGCGGCCAGCTAAATATGTTGCTTCCTTAACTCTTTCGATATCGTCTTGTGAACCAGTGCAAGAAAATTCATCTTCAGATTCCGAGATAGATATACAAGAAACTGCCCATCCCAACTCAGACCACACAGTCTGATAGTAATCAAACTCAACTGAGGAAACATTTTCATAACACCAAAATTACTGGCAGCATTACATAGGTGTTAGTTAAGTATGAAAAATGAAATGGTGACTTTATTATTGAAGCAACCATTGAGGCACTTGGATATAACACTGACGAGTTTCGTATAAGCAACTCCTTCATTCAAAGAATTCGTACCGAAAAGCGAAAGGATCGCGCAGAAGCTATAAAGCTTGATTTCCAAAGCGAGGTACCGGATGGTGTAACTGTCCACTGGGATGGCAAATTGTTGCCACCTTTAAATGCAAGTAAGTCTAAAGAAGAACGTCTACTGATTATTATAACGTATGAAAATAATGAGTAACTTATCGCTGTGCATGCTGAGCAGGCTCAGGCAGTTTGGAATGCTATTACTGACTGGAATCTTTAAGATGAACTTCAGATTCTCTGTAGTGATACTACTGTTTCAAATACGCATTAACAGCGCATGCGTGCTTCTTGAACAGAAACGTAATAAAGAAATACTTATTTTTGCTTGAAGCCATCACGTCTACGAATTGCTGTTAAAAAGCGTATTGAATCAAACATCGACCAAGTGTCTACAAGCCCTGGAAAAGTGTGGATCCCTAGAAAATACAGATTTATACTGAAAAGATATCGTGCTTGAATATTTCAGAGACTGACAAGCTGCTAGAATTTTATCGACATAAATTGACTAAAGAAGTTGCTAAAGATGACTATCAAGAATTAATAGGACTTTCAATAATATCCTTTTGCGGAGACAGAGAAAAAATTTAAGATTCGACCGCCAGGCGCCATGGATCAAGCTCGATGTATGGCTAGAGCAATCTATTCATTAGAAATAGCGTTACTAAGTCAGAGCTCAAACTTTCTAATGAGAATAAGGCAGCTCTGTTAGATATCTACCAATTCATCGTGACAACATGCGTGAAACCGTGAAAGCAGAGCACTTTAGCGGTAAAAGTACCTAACTAGGATTTATACTTTTTAAGGCAATGAAGGTTTACGAGGGAATTGACAAAACATTTCAAAAGAAGTTTTACAAAAGTTCTGCCAAGATGTATGGTATTTGACAGATGAGATATATGCCTTATCTCTGTTTGACGACGACGTAGATGAGGAAACTAAAGTAAAAATTGTTGCTAATTTAGCCAGAGAAAGTCCAGCAGCCCACGGTAAACGCTACATCCCTTCGAAAGAAACACTTTCTGGCCCAGTTGATCAAGACTGACGAATAAATTTTCCTTGTTCAGTCGACTCAAAATTGATGATAATTTTCTCAACGAGTGTCCAACTTCTTGGCCACATAATGATTCTTTTCGACACGCAAGAATAAGGTGTAAACACTGAGAGCAGTCAACGATATGGGACAAAGAGTAGTCAAGTTAATGCATGACTTCCATGGCTTAATCACTGCCGATGAGGAACAAAAACAATTTTTATTAGGATGCGTACAAGAACACAGCCATATCCTGACTGTAAAAAGAAAACTTTGAAAAGAAAATTTAGTAAATAATGTTCTCTTAATGATAATATCTAAGAAATATACAATTCAAATAAAGCAGTATTTTATTTGTCAAATAAGAATTAGGTTTTAAAATCCATACATAGTTTCCCTAGCAACTTGCAAATTCAAAGTTTGAAAGAAAGTTCCCCGTTCCCCGATCGCAATATTTATTTTTTGAGTTGTTAAAGTCATATGGGAAAACATTATAGGGTAGGCGTATCTCAATTCAAACAAAAATTTGTTTGCCCTCATAGGCTGGGACACCCTAATGAGTTTCAAAACTGATGTAGCACACATGTTAGTACCATATTGTGTGTGCTTTCATAAAGTGTTACTAGGGCGGAGATCAGATTTATCCCCAGCCGTGCACTGTATTACTACATACAAGGCACTAAACAGCAACGAAATGAACTGTTACTGGTGAAAATGGAATAGAAGAGGAAAATATTTCCGAGAAGAACCCATGTAAATGTTACAGGGAATAATCCTCAGGAATAAAATGGTTAATTTCATTCAATTCATGAAAATGCATGTCAATACAATGACTGGAACATATAAATATTTCAAGCATTCTTATAAATTGTGATGAAATGCAATTACTACCTTAAACGGAGACGGAAGCAACACACTGGGACTCGTTGGCCAATTTTTCAGTTTACACGTCCTATGATGCTCGAGTTGTGTAATATACTATATGATAGTATAAAGGCTACTAATCTACCTGGATTCAAGATTTAAGTAATTGTGATTAGAATCTACAAATCTGAGGAGTTTAGTTAATCTCATGCACCAAGTTCTAGGACATATTCAAAAACCAACAAATGGGTAGAATTTTATTATATGATGATTGAATCTCATTCCAAACTAAATTTTTTCAACACTTAAAATCCACATAGATCACCTCCGGTAGTTGCGTGCATTTCCTCCAACAGGCCGATTATCCCTATTAGCAGAATTCGTCTTGTCCACCCTTTTCCCTTTGCCGCTCTGCTTTCCTCCCCGCTTGAATCCCCTTTCTCCACCACCACCCTTAGCACCCTTCCTGAAAGTCTCCCTTTTTTTCGACTTAAAACCAACAGACTTTTTGTGGCCATCTCTTGTGTCTCTCTGATTCTGATTTCTGTCCCTTTGTGGCCCGTCCTCTGTCTTTCGTTTTTTATTTCCATATGCGGGAGGACGGAATTTACGTTTATAGCCACCAGGCCTTGACGAAAATAGATCTAAAAATGTTATCAAAAGATGATACTAAAGTTCAATACCCAAAGTAATCATTTTACCTTTGTCCGGTTCTTCGCCCACTTCTTCTCTATAATACTCCCTATCATCATCTTCTACTTCTGCATTTTCTTCTTGGTTCTTATCTATTTTCATTTCTTCTTTCTGTTCACTTGTAACCACTCTTAATTCAGATTTCTCTTTTTGACCCTTTATTGACTTTTCTTTCAACTGTGCCTTTAATTCTTCTTTCTTTTTCTTGTTCTCTTCTTGAATCCTCTTTCTCTTTTCTTTAAGTTTCCTGAAAAAGAACCACTTATTCTTTTTTTTTCTTTAACATAGCATCATACATACTTTTTCATTTCACGTTTCCTCTGTATTTCCTCGCGTTCTTCCTCACTCTTATGAATGAGATCATGATAGAGCACCTCTCCATCGAGGAGTCCATCTTCAATTTTGATTAGACTCAAAGTCAGACGAGGGCCCAGCTCACTTAGCCTAATGGCCGATTTTCCTTGCTCCAAAGTTCCTCTGGTCTTTAGTTTTTGTGGTACAGTTACCTGATGTTGAGGATCATCTTCAGCCTCACTTTCTGATAACATACCAGCCCTAAAAATAAATTGACAATGTAGAGTGTGTATGTTTTATGTTATGTAGATGACCAATGCTATGTAAGAAGAAGAATATGCAAGTACTTATAAATATATAATGTAAAATAAATATTAATACAATATCAGAGCAGAGACATTTAACCATGGCAAATGATATGCATGTACTCACAACAAGTTTAACCTTTATTGTTGTGCAAATCAAAAATAGACATGTTTTTTCACCTGTATGTTGCAAAAACCTATTTGAAATTGAAAGACGAATCATATAAATCCTTTAAATCTCTCACCAGAAGAATAAGTCAATAATGATTGATTAGCATAATATGTTGATGTCAGAGATAAAAGTTATTTCCCTAATAGAAGGCTAGTCTCCATGGAGAAGTAGGGTCAGATTCTAAGGGCAGGACATGAATAATTATTAAGACATGCTAGGGTTTATTAAATAGAACTTTGGCACGAAATTTCACATTTGAACAGGTTTTGCCACTTTCTCATTCAAAGAAAAAAGTGAAATACACTCAGAATATATTTTTTGAAGTATAATAACATTTTGGAAAAACATCCGATTCAGGTAGAAAAAAGATTTAACTTGAAAATAAGTCTGAAGTTAGATAACACTGAATAAAATTAAACAGTAATAATGAAATATTATCACATACCTTATATTATAGATTACTAGCTTGTTGAAATAGGCACAATAAGAATAGACACTTGTCAGGGTTGAAAAAACATGTTGTTTTGATTTTAAAAACATAAATCGTGTTTTTTTTTTTGTTTAGAACACTGTTAATACATGTTTAAAACAGTAAAAAAATTATGTGAAGTTCCTTGAAAGTGTTATTACTATTTTTGATCCAGCTCTTATCACAGCATATCTCTAATTTAAAAGCGGACATCGGGAAACTACCGTGCGGGCGTCGGGGAAGTACCGTTTGCCTTTGAGTAATTCTTCGCGTTGCGATCTCCAGCAGTCAAATGTGCGAAGTCGTAGCATGGTGATGGGTCTTGTTTTTTGTGCATTAAAGATCGGCAAAAAAAGGCAATGACATGGAGGAGAAAGGATCCCGTGTGGAAATATTTTAAGGAGACTGATGGCAAAGCTGGCTTGAAAATAAATAAAAGAGCAAAAGGTTTAACTTGCAATATGCATATAGTGCCACTGGTGGCGAGAATGTAACAAGCATATTAATAATTGTAAACTTGAACAAGGAAGTTTGCTAGAATAACAAAATATTCATATATCAGATAGTTCTGATACCGACAATGATGATGTTTCTACCGAACCTATTTCCTCAAAGTTAAGTAGCTTGGAGAACTGTGAAAAGGGTACCATTTTTTACGAGTTCCGTAAAAAATAGTTAAAACTAAACATTTATGCTATGTACATTTTCCATAATTTTATATTTTAAAAATATGGATTTAAGGATTTTTTGATTTTTTCTTAAATATGATGGGTTGTATACTTTTATAGAAATTTGTTAAGTAACTTATTTAATGTTATTATATAAGTAAATACATAGTCATATTATATGATTCTTCTGCTGCTTGTAGTGTAGTAGTTTTAGAGTGCAATGCAGTTTATTAAGTTCACATGTTCCTTAAGAAATATATATTTTTTTCCACTAGTATTAGTTCCCTAGTTTCATGCTTGACTAATTAATAAAAAATAGAGTTTATTTTTTAGTACATGTGGGGTTTTAACCTATGGCGATTTTAATTTCGTTTTGCAAAATAAAATCAATTTTAATCATACTTAAACAAAATATTAAAAAAAAGCTTGAATACTTCACAAACGACAAAAAAACAGTGTTTAAGACAAATTGGTTTAAAACACCTTCATTGTTTTAAATAGTGTTTAAAACACTTGTTTTATACATTTTATTAACCACCCTGATACTTATTATATAAAATAAGTGATGAGTGCTCAGCTTATTTTAGCATATATATTTAGGTCATGGATTTTCAATAATCATCTGCCAACTTACTTTGTGAAAAACTCGGCAATATCATTGCATCTGCTAAGATCCGGAACTTTTCCTTGCACTACTTTCTTGACACCTTTTGAGATACCTACTGGTACTACTCTAATACTGTAGTGCCTGAAATCTATCATTTTTGTGGTTGAATTATAGTTTAGTAAGACACATCTACGAACAGTATTCAAATCAACAGTCAGCAAGTTGATTGTAGGAAACATATTCTGGAATATAATAAAACTTTAAACAAATATGTAAGCAGTAAATAAATAAGCTAGAAGAGCGAATCAAAAATAAAGATATAGTCAGGGACAGAAATGAGTCGATTTATTAACATTACTTCACTATATCACAGGTCCTGGCGACTTTAAGTGTTCATATACAAGTGCAAAGTCGGTTATGATCACTGTGCAAGTGTGAGTGTATTAATATCAAATATCTCAAGAGTTGTTGAAATGCAGATACTGCAGGGCAGGGGGATCTTCTTGCATGTGGAATTGTGATTTTATTACTGTGATTCTGTCATCATTTGTCACTGTGCTATCACCTGTGTTAAGTTACTTGATTTTAAAATGAATGTAGACAAAATGTGATCTATAAGGAAGAAAAAAGTATTTTTAAGCAACTTATAGTCATATTTTGTCTTCATTTTGTTGAACAGTTTGAACATATCGAATGTGTTTTACTTTGTTACACAGTTTATGAGTGTGTGTCATTTTATCTATTTGGTATGTGATATTGACTATGACATTTAGGAACACCCCTCCCCTGGACAATGTCTAAATGTCTATGTGGACTACTAGCAAGAGAAGTATAGCTTGAGATTGTAACATGAAATTCTTGTTTGACTAAATCAAAACCACATATGTTTATTGAACAATGTTTTGGCTCAACAACTTTTCGAGTTCAATTGAACTGATTTGGCCAGACAAGCATGGGAGATTATAAATATGAATATAATTGATACAGGCAAATGAACATCATCATGCAACAAGGAACCAACTTACAAAACAGTGAAAAATTGAGATCAACACACATCTGTTATATTATCATTAAGAAGAAATGTTTTGATTTTATACTCATATAACATAGTTCATTATGTAAATACATTGATGTAGTATCAATAACACCATTTTCTCAAAACTTCCCTGCTGTTGGTTAGTTCCTAGTTGTGTAAGTCTGAATGTTTATACATGGATTCAGTTCTGGACCTAATATTATGTGTACCTGAAACATAGAAGCCATCATTTTGAGATGCAATCCTTCTCCACTAAAGCTATTAAGTACTATCAGAGGGGCATGTTTGAATGCTTCCTCAACTACTGACTGCTTTTTCAAAGAAGAAACAACATCTCTAGCAAATGAGAAATTGTGGATCTTAAAGGTCAATGTAGGACCTCTAGGCAATCTGGCTATCTTTAAATACATTCCTAAGCTGGTTTTGGAGAATATGCATATATGGGAGACATGGAGGGGGCCAGCTACAGACAAAAAGTCTTTTATAGTGTTCTTTTTGCGCTCCTGAAAATAAGATAGAGAAATAACTTTTCGGAATTGGAGGCACATTGGCCTGGGTAAAGATAATATGGCCATGCAAGACGACTGTTGAAATATACTCTTCTAGCCTCTATACGACTATCCGCAGCGAAAATTTTGCTTTTATCGTTGCACAACACTTAAAAAATGCAATACTCTTTAAACAACAAATAGGCTTACCTTTAGCGATGTGGCCGTATATGGTTCCATAACTCTCCTGAAATCCTTAGTTAACTCCAAGATATGCGCACCGGGAAGCCCTCGGTGGATTACAAATGAATGTGGAGCTTGTACTAGTTCATCAGGCTCTGTGGCTTTATTCTTATTTCGTTTCGCACAACGACCCCGTTTTGGCTTACCCATTTTTATACTCTATAACTAGAAATCTGGAAGAGAATCCACAAAAATCACACTTTCAAAGAAAATAATAGTATGACAACACCAACACACGTTAAACATTGAGCATTGAGGTTAGGGCCGGACTCGACATCTCGACAACAGTTGACATTTCGATTTCGTCCAAGGTGCCAAGGTCCGCCCCCACTTAAATGCTAGCCACAGACGTCATCCTTTTGGGACAGGCTTATGCAGGTTCCACACGATGCTTCCAATGTTGTATACAGCGTTGTTCACAACGTTCGGCACCCCACAATATTGTCTTCTACACGATGGGATGAACTTTTTAGTCTCGGACGTTCGACGCATGGTGGTACCAACGTCTATTATCGGTGACAGTGTTGCACTTGAACCTTTACAACTGAAGGAAAAATTATACAAAATGAACGATGAAACAATTTTTTCGAGCGCCAAAAAATAATTTTAGATCTGTCCTCAGCGACCACAACTTAATCGTAGTTTGACCATTTTTTGTTTGTTTTTCGACGATAACGTCGCCGCCACCGTACAGATTTTCAAAAATTGAGAGCCTTTTGTCATTTTCATAGTAGTAACCTAGGGTCAGAATTTCATCAAAATCCTGGTAGTACTTCCAGAGTTATCATTTATGTAATTTTTCGTTAGTTGTAAAATGCAAGTCAAAATATTCTCAACTAGTCTTGCATTGCAACAGGACATTATATTGATACAACTGTGAGTACTTGATAATTTATAATTTACTAAAATACATATCCTTTGGCCAGCCATAACTCTCCTGCGAAACATACAAAATATCAGCAATAGGAAAAAGTGTTGTTATGGCACCCTATGCTTTGTATGTATTTTAATTTAATTCATTCTCCTCAAAAGTTAGTTACAGAACATACATTATTATGAATAGGTGAGTATTTAAATCCAAATACTTCCCACATGCCACTACTTCACCACAATCACAACAAACAATAACTTGTTTCGCCGCTACTGGTTCTAACCTAAAACGATCAAACAAATGACACCTCATGTGTGGTGGGAGCGTAACGAACCATGCTTCCAACGTTGTATATTGTATCGTGTGGGACCGGTTTTACCCGACCTCCTAACCATAGCTGCTATTCTGTAGATCTCAATCTCCGCATGAAGGTCCCTTATTTCAGCTGAATTGAACACGTGCTTTCAAATTGTTCTGCTACGTGACCAACAAACTCTCTTTGTTGATTGATTAGTTCAACTACAAATCACAGACATTGGATTTATAGAGTTGCAACTAGAATTGGCACGTCGTGCAAAATTGTCGGAGAAGTACGTCTGTTGCCCGCTTAAACAGTTTTTGAATCACTTTATAGATTCAGTTCAGTGCTGTGCTTTTTGGATCAAATTGATTATACCTTAAAACGAAATGTATACCAGCATTTTTAATGAATGAAAATGAGTCAGACTCCTAGAAGAACTCCAAATTCTAACAGTCCAGGCTTTGCACCAGTCAAATGTAAGCTCAATATTAAAATCTGTTCATCAACCTACCTGGCTTTCTTGTTTTATAGTACATCAGAGTCCCATTGCAAGCCCTAATAGTCAGAAGAACCTAACAGGTGTGCCTAGAGTGGTAAGGGACCTAGCAGCAGATCTATACAACAATGTGCAAAAATGGAACAATTTGCACATAAGAGGCGCACAACTATGCAAGCAGATCGCTATCTGTAAAACAGACAAGCCTTTTGAATACTCTCCTGAATTAGAAACTTTAACAAATAATTTATATGAATGTGTGGATGAGCTTACGCCCATCAAAGAAACGTTTGAGATGATTATAAAACAGGCAGAAGCAATGAAAAAGTTGCAGAAAACTCCAGAACCTGTATTTTTTGGGCATAAAATGGAGGGTTTGGTAGAAATGGTACATTATGTAGCAAATGCCTATGTCGCAGAGTACAGTGTAAGTTTTCCATTTGACTTTCAATAATCATAGTTTCTCATCACTGTTTTACTGTTTCAGGTGAAACAAACTGTATTAGAAAATATAGCTCATACACAGAGCAAAGATGAAGTGATGTTTTTTGCTACATTTTGGACATTACAAACAAATGTGGATGATAGAGTTACTTTGAAGTTGGAGTCCTTATTAACTGAAACATGCCACAGAACAATTGACTAAACATGAAATTCATGATGGAAAGAAATCCTGAATGATTCAGATCCTATTATTTTCATAGTGAACTAAGATGCATCATAGATCAAATGCAAGAAACTGACTTTGGTGTCAAATTTTAAAAATATGAAGTATATATAATGGATGTTAACATTTGTCTTTTATTTATACTGTTCGATAATAGTTGAAACAGTGAAATTCTTTATGGTTGTATCGTCAGTCATTCCTACAATTGAAGGACGCCTTTATGGCCTCCTTGATTTTCATAGTCTCTTCTCTCCTTCAGAAAGGCTGGGATTTCTAGATTTCTACTGTTCCGTGCCAGCGTCAGCGCTTTCGTACTGTGAGGTTGTGTTTTCTTTTGAATTGTAGGAAATTTCAGGCTGATAAAACGGATCTAAATCAAAAGCATTAACAATTTGATGCTGATATTTGTGACATAACCTCAAAATAGAGCACTGACACGGAAAAGTAGAAAACCAAGAAAGTCAAGGAGGCTATAAAGGCATCCTACAATTGTAGGAGCGACTGACGCGATACAGCACTTAGCATTGGGCATTAGAATAAATTTCTGAGTGAAATGGCCATAAACATATTTATTAACAATTATGTTACTTCAACAATCACTGGTGCATCATCCTCATCCTCAGATTCCAAATGTCCAAAATCCCACTCATACAAATCTGTCAAGCTTTTTTTCAATCTCTCTGCCTTAGTTTTGATTTCTCCATCAATGTCCAATCCTTGGATGGTCCGGAACAACTGCCTTAGTTTTACATAGACAAAATTATTGTTAGTTACAATGTCTGCTAGAAACTCTTCAGGAACTTCCTGTACCTTCAACCAATAAAAACAATAATCAGCGATTTATTTCAAGTGGTATAAGAATATTCTTATACCTGTGCCTCTATGACGATCAAAAATCTATTGAATAGCCTTCGATGTTTTTTCACAGCTGCTTCACAAGAACAAAAAAGGCTAAAGATTTTCTTCCATTGATCAAATGCTTCTAAGCTGTGACCTACCAGGAAACAAATGTAACAGAACTGAAGCTCCCCTATAATATTATCTGGTCTAAAATAAACATTGTATAAGTGTGCTTAAATTTCCTTTGATGTGTAAAAATCTTACTTTTGATATGAGCTGGCAATCAGGTCAAAACATAGGATGAATCAAGGGAATGCTTTGTTATATCAGCTGGAGTTGAACCTTCTGGATATTTCTTCTCAGGAAACTTTGTTAATCTGAGCTCAGTACCAGCTTTTGCTTTTAAATGGGGCAATAATGCATCTAGGTTGTCAGATTTCCTAGATCGCTTTGCTTCAGTTGGAGATGGATTATCCTCATCATTCTCATCAGCTTTCTTTCCTTTAGGCCTATCAGAATTACTGCAAGATTCCAACTCCAATGCTGATTGTATAAATCCAGATATAGGAACAAGACTTTTTACCAGATCATCTGTTGAAATATTATCAGTTAATAAAGATTTCTGTCTAAAATGAGCTCTTTCAGCTTATGAACATATATACTTACCAGTGAGGTCTGATGTTAATCTTTTCCATCTATCTTTAATATCATAAGGATAAGGCCCTAAGAAATTATCTAGAGCTCTCAAGTTTCCTTTTAGTCTGACAATGTCCTCATCACTGACAGTTTCAGGACTAACGCACTCATTCACCTGATCCCACTTTTTACCAATACTTCAGCTTTTCTATAAAGACAAGTGTGGTATACTTATAGTTAATAAACGAGCAAAATTCATGTTCAATACATAATCATACCAATACAAAGCATAACGATTTCTACCAGTCTAGCCAGTCAAACCACAGGACTTTATCCTTCCTGATTGAATCTATGAAATATGGATGTTACGCAGGAAATAAATAAATTAACCTTATATGATTAATAGAAAAGAGATCATGAAGTCAAATTTACTGAAGTGATATACCCACTTTCAATGCAGAAATTCATAACCAGTCTTTTGTTTATTAGTGTCAGTCCTAAAATGAAAGGATGCATACCTAAAATTGTGAAAAAATCCTGTTCTAGGGGCAGTATCACCTGTGTTTGATACAGCACTGTAAAAAAGATAGTGTAGACCAGGTGGGATCATTTTTACTCCCCTGAATTTCTCTCCAGTGTTCCAAGATTTCATATCAATTCCAAATTCTGTACCTTCTGGTACATTCAGAAACACAAATATTGCTCCCTCTTCGTATAACTTACGCGCTGTTTCTTGATCCATTTCGTATTGATTATCTGCAATGTTTCATGAATGTTAAAATACCACAATTCTACAAAAGTCGGAAGGTTGTTCGAAATAGTAGCATTTTTCTTTTCGCCGCTTTCTTACATGGACGCAAGTATTGGTATAAACTAAACAAAACGCAGATGATTTAGACGTTGACGTCACAAATGCCATAAGATGAATCAATAAATTGATTTTGTTTTAACATGGGATCAGAGTGATTGAGTAAAGCATTGACATTCTCATCACTTGATAAAAAAAATAACGTCAAACTGACAACTAACCTCTCCATTTCAGTGACACAAAACAACTTTGTTTTATTCTTGTATTGCTTACATATTTTCTGGAAAACGGGTACCTCTTCGTTCAGGATACTTTGAGGTTTTTTTCTAAAACTATTCATACATTAATGGATAAAAGTTGCCAATGATAGAAGAAAAATCGCATCTTCCGAATAGGTCTAATATGAGCAAGTCTTGGACTAAATACTTACTGTGGTTTGCACAGGAACATGTCGATTTCGATTTGCTGTAAGCTCATTTTTGAAGGAACTTTTTACTGGAGGATACTTTATATCATTCTTTTGTTGTAGGAAATCAATTCATTAATGTCCTTGTTTAATATAGAGATGAGATTTGTGAGAAAACCTAAAGATGTAAGTAATAATGAATAATAATAGTTAAATATAAATGAATATATCCTTTGCTACCATTTCTAGAGCTATTTGCTACCTCCAATCTATTCTATAGCTAAATATATGTAATTGAAATAAAATATGTTTGTTTACTTTTAAGGAGCCCTACTGGATTGTAGAATTCCCTTCAGAAGTTGAAGTGAAGTTGTTGGCAAGCAGATCAGTATCACTAAGAAATTGTATTGAGCTTTGGGCCCATGCTCCTAATGTTCAAAAATTACATGAGGAGCTCAAACTGTATCCCAAAAGTCTAATGCAACCATATGTTCAAGCTGATAAGAGCTTCAAAATTGAAGTAGATACATTTTGCAAGCACTTCTCACAGAAAGAAAAGGTTGATAAGTTAGAGGTAAATAAAAGTATCTACCTATCCAGGAGAATCTTTTTAAACTTTTTGTATGGAAACAAACTACAGAGATATAAGAAAATACCACACAGTATCCCAGTAGATACTTTCACAGATAAAGGACATATTTGGAGTTTTTAATTTAGTTTTAATAATTTTAGTATATTTATTGTTCATATCATTTTTGATATCAGTAACAAGACTTCAACATTGGATTAGCTTTGTGAATAGCAAAGTATTTTTCATTTCCACTATACATATACAAACTTAAAAATAACTATGTTTAAGGCTTTCAGTTATTTACCAGTAGACGGACCTGTGGATTTGAAAACTCCCGATGTTACATTCCAGTATATAGAGTATTATGGCATCATACCTCATTGTCCTCCTGAGCAACCATATGAAGTCTTTTTTGGAAGATGGGTGAGGAAAATTTTAAGATGAGGACAATAATGTAATATTTGTTCAAGATAATTCAATAATATTTGTTTAGGGATTCATTACTGTCAATCAGTATAAGCAATATAAGCATGGTTACAAATCAGATTACTTTGAAGAGGATTTGTGCCGCATGACACTCCCAACAATGTTCAACATCTGGGTGATCCACTAAATGATGTCAAAACCCTTTGTTGAACTAGATGAATAATGCTGCCACATGACACAAATCAGAGCATAAATGGCTTCTTACAATTACCTAAGCTTAGCTAGTAAGATTGTTCATTATTATTGTGAAAATTCATAAACCTAATCAAAGAGTGAATTAGCCTCAAGCTAAATATATCCTTTCTGTCAGGTAGCTAGTGGTCTGAGACAACTGATAAAGAAACTATCTTTGAAGACTCGGAAATTTATTGGTAACACCAGCATGGATCCTCAGTTGTCTTTGCTAATGGCAAATCAGGCAAAAGTAACAGATGGCAGTTTAGTAGTAGATCCTTTTGTTGGCTCAGGCTCACTCCTGGTTGCTGCCACTCAGTTTGGTGGATATGTGTGGGGTACTGACATTGACTATCTTATGCTACATGGCAGAACCAGGCCATCCAGGATACATCAGAAGGTGTGTAACTTGTCATTTATTATAAAATAAATCAAAGAAAGTGTGTAAATCCAATTTATAAAGAACTCAAAAACCAAACTTAGGACCTTCTGCATTTGAGGTGAGATTAGAATGAAAAAGTATGCACAAATGTTAACCATAAGTCAAAAGTAGGACTTTTAACAGTACATTTTTTTTTGACCTATATTCCTATTGTTTTCCTCAGTTTTCGTTCTAGTGATATTGGTTTCAAAAATATTTCCAAATTTAAACGGTCATATAGTAAGTGACATATAAAATGCAACACTCAGAATTATTTATTGAATTTTGGATGAAAACTTGCTATCATAGAAGTATATGCTGATAAAATGTTCCCGAGCCGTACTTTTTTTGTAAAGACTTTTTTTTGACATATCAGGATCCGAACAGTAGGAACATGTTTACTTAATATTCAGTGATTTTCTGGGTTGGTTTCATTTGTTTTATTGTTGTTTCATTGCATTACCATGCCTAGAGTTTGCAGACGCGCCAGTCTCACTCACTTTCCGAGTCAATTACAATGAGGACAGTTTATAGACGAATAAGTTCTTTTGGACTGTTTTCATACCATCCCCATCTTGTACTACCTCTGACCCCACAGCATCGTCAGCAACGCTTGGTATGGGTATGGGACAGACTTGAATGGAACATGGAATGGAATTCACTCGCGTTCAGCGATGCGTCCAGGTTCAGTTTGGGTACACGGATGGCCGTGCAAGAGTAAGGAGGAGACATGCTGAAAGACGGAACGTTTCACAACCGCACCTGCTTCCCTTTTGGAAACATTGCAAAATCCTTTTTTTCATGAGGACAATGCATGACCTCATGTACGTGTTAGTTAAGACTTTTTAGAAGGAGAAGATCTGCTTGAGTGACCTCCTCGATTTATATTGGACATGATGGGAAGAAGGTTGCAAAATTCACCGCACCCTCCACAAAGATTGGAGGCTCTAGGAAACCAAATTTAGATTGCCTGGGATAAAATACACAATGACTTAAAGAATGTGTAGCGAACAGATGAGCTTCATCACATTATTAGCATTGAGGTGCGGAATATCTCAGCTGATTTGCGAAATTTCGAGTCAAAATTTTAATCACTTTATTAGTAGACCTAAAACTTGTAAAGATATGCTCAAAATTACAGCACTCCTAGTCGGTGTTTCATTTTCTGTCTCATTTAGTATATTTCGAATGTCAGTTGTTTCAGGTGAGGAACGATTTTTATTCTTGATACTGTTAATTACCACCATCGCAAATTTCATGTTGATGATTTTTCTGATCATGTAACCCTTGGCGATAGACTATTTCACGGCAGTGGATGTCTACCAAGATCTTAGTTTAGAAAGAATGGAAGACTATCATCTTAATCACTAATCAACATGCAAAAAAGTAATACAACTACGTTCACTGACTATTCTACTCCCTCATATTCAAGAATTGTTCTCTTGGAACAAGGAAGATCGTGGGTTCCGAACCTGTTGATTGAGGTTTTTCTATATCGCATATTAGATGTTCATCTGAAGAAATTAAATTATTCTAGACTAGAGACCGTGATGAAAGCGTGAGAGCCAACATGAAGCAATACAACATGGAACATCGATATATGGACGTGCTAGTAACGGATTTCGCGACGCCGATTTCATCACTAATCACCATGCAAAAAAAGTAATACAACTACGTTCACTTTTTACTGACTATTCTACTCCCTCATTTTCAAGAATTGTTCTCTTGGAACAAGGAAGATCGTGGGTTCCGAACCTGTTGATTGAGGTTTTTCTATATCGCATATTAGATATTCATCTGAAGAAATTGAAATTATTCTAGACTAGAGACCGTGATGAAAGCGTGAGAGCCAACATGAAGCAATACAACATGGAACATCGATATATGGACGTGCTAGTAAACGATTTCGCGACGCCGTTTTGGCGCGAAGATTTCCGATTTGACGCTGTGATTACAGACCCGCCTTATGGCATCAGGGAGGCTACAGAAAGAGTGGGTACTAAAAAAGAAGGATATGAAGTAAAGGCGGAGCATCTACCTACTCATATTCCCGCCAAAATCGAGTATGGCATCAGCAACATCTACAAGGACTTACTGAGGTTTTCTGCAAGACACTTGAGAGTAGGAGGGAGACTTGTATGCTGGTTCCCTGTGTTCAGGTGAGTAATAAAATACTTCTCTTTATTCTCAGTGATCAGCATGTTGGTGCTGCCTCCATCGACGTAAACCGACTATCACTTACTTAAACAACACAACCAAAAAGGGCGTCAACAGGAAATATACATGTTTTTATATCTTCTGTCGACTATTTACGTTAATATAATACCGTAGACAGTTATTTCACTCATAGAACTGTCTGTATTTTTTTATTAAATATATAAAATTGCAATGCCAATGGTTTTAATTGTAACGCCGCATTTTTCGCGCGCTTCACGATGGCGATACAGCTCGTCATTTTATTCCAGGTTTGGTTAATTTGCTGTCATGATTTGCTCCAAGTTTTGTAAGTGAACAAGCAGTCCTGTGTTATTTTACTGACGGCGTCTTGGCGGCGAAATTCTCGTGTCTGATGGCAGCATATCTGCTGCCAAAGCTGTTGATATCTATGCTGAAAAAGGGGCGTAACCCATTGAAGTTAGATAACTCAGTGGCAAATTCCGCGTCATCCAGTACTCTTTGGAACTGATCAAGGAACTGCTCTAGCAAATGTACGTAGTCATGCCATAAGTTCTGTCCCTCGTTTTCAAACAAGTGTAGACCTGTTAATACTTGTCCGATTGTTTACATTGTGGTGTCAGTTGATTAAGCGCTTTTCGGGTAATTACATATACCTCAGTTTGTATTGATCTCTCGAAGCATAACGATGGAGTGGGGCAAGGCAGAGAACCGTATTGCAGTGATAGCTTTACATAAGTGTAATCACAGTGCTAGTCAGATTTTTGAACTCTTACGCGGCCTTCAAATATCGCGTAAATTTGTGTCTAGGACCATTCAGCGGTACAATGAGACGTCCTCTGTTGATGACAGGCCAAGAAGCGGAAGACCTCGTCAAGTAAGGACTCCAGCAGCCATCAAAGCCGTAAAGCCAGGATTCAAAGGAATCCACTCCGGAAGCAGAAGATCCTATCCAGGGAAATGAAGATTCCTGTCCGGACGATGTCGCGCATCATTAAACAAGACCTAGGGCTAGGGGCTTACCGGAGACGTACGGGCCAGCGACTTACGGCCACCTTGCGACACATCAGGGCGACAAGATCCAAGAAGCTCTTGGAGAGGTACGCAGCTGGGGGATTCCGAAAGATTTTGTTCACGGATGAGAAAATCTTCACCATAGAAGAAAAATTCAACCGACAAAATGACAAAGTGTATGCAAGGATTTCACAGGAAGCTTCGGAGATCATTCCGAGAGTTGAGAGAGGCCACCACCCTGCGTCAGTCATGGTTTGGTGGGGGGTGTCCTACGAAGGGGTCACTCAGCTCCATTTCTGTAAACAGGGCGTGAAAACAAAAGCGGCAAACTATCAGAGCGACATACTGGATCCTATCGTCAAGCCTTTAAGTGGTACATTGTTTGCCAACCAACACTGGGTCTACCAGCAGGATTCCGCCCCGCTCACAAGGCTAAGAGTACGCAGCGCTGGCTGGAAAGCAATGTGCCAGAGTTCATTGCTGCGGAAGATTGGCCCTCAGGGAGTCCGGACCTCAATCCTTTAGACTACAAGTTGTGGGACCTGCTAGAGCAGTTGGCCTGCTCCAAAGCCCACCGTAATATCGAGTCCCTGAAAGCGGATTTGATCCGATCAGCGGCAGCTATTCCTTTGGAAGCTGTGCGTGCAGTGATAGATGAGTGGCCCGCGAGATTGAAGCAGTGTGTGAAGGCCAATGGGGGACATTTTGAATAAAACTGTTTGATTATGAATTCTAAAAATGTTGTCGAATAAATAATATCTTCATATAAATATATCTTATCTTGTTTCATTTTTATCATGAGATTATCATGGGACAGAACTTATGGCACGACTACGTACACGGGAACGCGACAATAAAAACGTAGCGTGTTTTTTGAGGTTTTGCTTTTACGTTGACAATTTGTGTCACACAAACAATGAAAATGTAAACACATTTTGCCTTTATTTTCATAGGCACTGTCAGACTATCCAATTGATGCCTGATGATGCTTTTAGAATGATGGCGCAATACGTCAGAGGTCTGCATTTTTATTGTAAAGCTTCTGGATAAATGTGTAGAATTCATATTTTAGTGTAGACATTCAAAATTATTTTCAAAGTGTCTAGCTATAGATGAACCCAACTAAAAGATGCTATGAACCTGCATTCTTGCACTCTCTTGGTGATCTTTATTGTTTAGGAACATCTCATATAGAGGGTTATCCAAATTAAGTGTCCACCATTAGTAACTTTGTTATTAGTGAAAATACAAAGTTGTTTGAATTAGCAAACTAGTAGCATTTTTAACGCTGGTAAAAATGAGAAATAAAAAAAAACAATTGAGAGTCGTTATTTTGATTTTTTTCAGTAAAATAACATTTTTTTAAATGGAAACCCCTGTATATTATATTTTTTTCTGTTAAAGCATCAAACTTTAAACAAAAAAGCTTACAATAACTTTTCTCCTAGGTTACAAATTGTTGAAGTTATGGCCTCCAATCTGAAACAATTAAATTGTATCGACAAACTTTATTTTCAACATCAACTTATAATCTTACAAAATACAATAACAATTTTTTTTAAAGAAGATGCTCGAAAACACCACCTTGTTCTTCAATACATTTTTGGGCACGTTTTTCAACTGCTCGAACTGTCTTAAGTATGGTCCTACCATCTATCTGGGTTATCTTTTCCCTAACTGCAGTCTTTAACGCGTCAAGGTTATCGTACCTTCGCTTGTAAATTTGGTTCTTTAAGTAACCCCACAAGAAGTAATCAAGTGGGTTTAGATCTGGTGATCTGGGAGGCCACTGTATTAGGCCATTTGTTCCTATCCACTGATCATTAAAAGTAGTACTTAGAAAATGATAAGTACCTCTGGAGTTGTGGGCAGGTGCGCCATCTTGCTGAAAATGCAGATGATGTCTACTTATAAGATCCAATTCGTCTAAGAAATTAGTCAGAATTTCTGACATAAATTCCACATATCTTTCACCAGTTAGGGTTCCCTCATAAAAGAACGGGCCAACAATTTTTGAACCAATTATACCGCACCAAACGTTGAAACTGAAACGGACTTGTGGGCCTCTTGGATGTACTAACAAAAGATTTTCTCTTGACCAATAATGGTGTTTTTTTCTATTAAACATCCCAGAATTTGAAAAATTTGATTCATCTGTCCATAAAAGGTAACGAAAGTTATTTACATTTTGGCGACAGAAGCTAAGATACCAATGGCAAAAAACAAGTCTTCTCTCTGGATCCCCTGCCAAAAGCGTTTGAACTGGTCGGTACTTATACGGAATAAATTTGTATTTTTTTAAATCCTTTGAACAGTACCATAACTGAAATTAGAGTCCTTGAGAATATCTGCTATTGAATTCTCACGATAAGCTTCAAAATATCCAATAACTGCAATTTCCGTGGCCTCGCTTATTATGAATTCTTTTTTGCCCTTGTTTTAGCAAAAACATTTTCGTTGCCCCTAAATTTTCGATAAAGTCTCAGAAAATATCGTTCATACGGTTGAATGCGAGCGGGATATAATTCACTGTAGTATTCTCTTGCTCTCAAGGAGGATTTTCTGCACACTAAATAGCATTCTAACATATCACACTTTTCTTCATGGGAGAACATTTTTCTTTAAATTAATGACACAATAAAGCTTATAAACAAGTATTTACACTAATGTTTGACATTATTTGATTTTATCATTGTTTTCCAAAGCCTTCTAGTTGCGAGTATGTCCAGTTTAACAATTTGTCGCTTATCTTAATGCTGTCCAATCGCGAACGCCATGTTGTTTTCATAGCCGTCTTAATATTATAATACTGCAAATAATTAAAAATATTTATCGTTATTTTGACTTTATTTTTGACTTTAGCGGAAAAGTCATTATGAACTTTTTTGTTTAAAATTTGATGCTTTAACAGAAAAAAATATAATATACAGGGGTTTCCATTTAAAAAAATGTTATTTTACTGAAAAAAATCAAAATAACGACTCTCAATTGTTTTTTTTTTATTTCTCATTTTTACCAGCGTTAAAAATGCTACTAGTTTGCTAATTTAAACAACTTTGTATTTTTACTAATAACAAAGTTACCAATGGTGGACACTTAATTTGGATAACCCTGTATACGTTGTGACTCTGGGTCATAACATTATCAGTTTTTTACCATGCTCCATTGTCTGGTATCGATTTAATGTGAGTTTAATGCAAAAAAACAAAAACGATGAAAAAATATAACCTAACAATCTTGACACATTGTCATTTGTCATTGTTATCCCCACTATTTCGGAGCGTAGAACACCGAATAAAAAGCTGGTGCATGAGGGGGCAGGGGATTTCAAAAATGAGTAGCTCGGGTACATGACACTCTAGAGCACTGGAAAGGTATTGGCAGGTGGTGGGGAGCTCCGCGTTACTTTGAGTAACACAAATAAGGCACCGGACAGCGGCTCTGGTATTACAATCATGAAGACTAGATATAGAAGCTAAACTCACGGAGATGGAGTGAAGCCAACAATGTCAAATATATAGTGAGTTGGTACACTATGCATCAAATGAATTTCAGGTGGTACGCATAGGGTATCGCTCTCGAGTGTACACTGTAGAGAAAATGAATTTCACCTTCTGCGCTTGTGGCATGTCTCTCTGTTGCTGTCATAATGACTGTAAACAACTCCAATTTTGACAGTTCGGACGAGTTGCATGCAGAAATATTGGATAATATTAATAAACCACAAAGTAATAAAGCAACAAAGCATGGCAAAACGTGGGTGAAATGCAGGTAAAGATTGCAGCAAGTTTTGTTGACATTTTTCAATGTGCAAATGCTCTACATCTACGCCCACTAAATTTCCGAGAGTCACGCCATCCTAGGCGACAGGACTTGCTCCATATGAATACGTGTATCCCCTACGCAGTTTAACCTCTTGTCTCTAGTCTTCGTGGTTACAATTAATGACAGCGTCAAAGGATTGACAGCTCACTTGTAAATATCGTGACGTCACGCCAATAGCGTTGCGGTTAGATGTATTAAATTTTCCGCTCATTTTTTATATATTTATACAACATATATAGTTGCTATAAGTACTGTTATTCAACATATATTTCATCCGGTTATCCGATCGATCTGCTTTTTGGCATTGGAAACCGTATGTTTCTTGGCACTGATGTGAGATATATTTTACTGTTCCAGGGAAGATTATACAGAGAATGTTCTTCCACATCATCCCTGCTTAGAGTTAGTGTCGAACAGTGAACAGACTTTGAGTAAAGTGACATCACGACGGCTTCTAACATTTGAGAAAACTAGAGAACCAACAGAAGATGAACTGGATGAATACCCAGTTGATATCATGGACTTTCGAGAAAAGTACTTTGTTATCAGAGAAGAATCTAGAAAAGAGAGAAGAATGAAAGAAGCTAAGATTAGGGAAGATGATAGGTTAAGGAATTTGAATAAACAGAGTTGATAAAAATGCTTGCTTTATTCTTCATGTATAACCGTACCCGACTTTTGAATAATTGTGCACGTGCAATATTCTCTTGACAATTACTTTTTTCATTTTCCTCTTCGGTTATGCAAATTTGACAATTGACGAGGACCGACCGAGTATGGTATCATCATCATCATCGCCGTTCTAGAGCATATTGAATACTGATTGAAATTATTAGTGAGACGAATTTTCTTGATGCATAGTATCCAAAAACTTGTTTGGAATTCGAAAAAGGTCTTGGTGCACTTTATTCTGCGTATGACTGGGAAGTAGAATTCAATTTTCATCTTACTAGGCGACTAGAAGCAGTAACAAAAATATATGAGTATAGAAGATTAAGTTACAATATGATAACCTTGATTGATTTACAAAAAAAATTATAGCAGTTGTAAGTGGGTCAGTTATGATTTGACCATTGGAGTTAATCAACTCTTATGTCTGCATTAAACTATGTAATGACATGTCACCATTTGAAGGATCAATAAATATAAAATGTGTGTTCAGATGATCCATAGAAATGATCAAATAGAAAACACTGAAAAAGGAATTGTTTTAATATGTATGCACTTTAAAAATTAATGTTCGAAGTCTTTAACCGATTAAGGTTCTTCATAGTACGGAATTTCATTTCTGACTGACGTATCCTCTTCATTGGTATAAATCTGGCCTTTGGCTTTTACTTTCATAACACTCTTCTTTAAGGAATAATTGCCCAACCAGTGCTCCCAAATGATGCCTCTGAAATACCCATTATCATTCGGCTTTCGATGGTAGACACCATTCAGATTTGATTCAAACATCTGCAAAAAGTCAAGTGCAAAAAATAGGTACTATATGCCGAAAATGGAGTATAAGTTTCAAAAACGTTTATACATATAGGTATCTGTGGCATGAGGTGCGCGTTTATGGTCCACGGCCTGAAATAAGTACCCAAGGTGCGAAGTGCTGTGGCTTTAAGACTTCAAGGGAGGTGCATATATTCATTATAACTGAGATATATACGACATCATAAACAGGGTGTCCAGTGGGAAAGTTCACATTTCAAATTTGAATTACGCGGCAACCGTATACGCGAAGAAGTGGGAAGAGGTCGTGATCGACGCGTTCGGCGTGCGGGTTAAATAGTCACGATGGAACATTGGACCGGAGCGCAACGTGCGTTTGCTATCGAGGCTTACTTTAAGAATGGTGATCCATACGCTGCTGCACTTTGGAAATTTTGTACGCGATACAACATTCGCCTACCAACAGATGCCCCAAGTAAGAAGCTATTGAAAAAGTGGATTAAGAGGTTCCGTGAAACAGGCTCTTCTCTTAGGGCCGTATCGTCAGTCGTTTCTACAATTGTAGGACGTCTTTGAGGTCTTCTTGATTTTCATAGTATTTCCTTTAGAAAGGCTGGGATATTTCTAGATTTCTACTGTTCCGAGTCAGCGTCAGCGCTCACCTATTGTTTTATGTTTTATTCTTCAATTGTAGGAAGTTTTAGGCTATATAACAGATGATATAAATAAAAAGTACGAACAATTTGTTGCAAATAAATATAAAAACTACGAAAATCAAGGAGGCCTTAAAGGCGTCCTACAATTGTAGGAACGACTGACGATACGGCCATAAGTCAACCCATTCCTGGCCCCACACCTACCGTATCAACCGAAGAAAATGTGCGTCGAGTAAGCGATTTGGCCATTGCAAATCCTCGGCGTTCTGAACGGAAGCATTCCGATGCTTTGGGAATCCCTAGGTCAACAGTGCTTGACATAATGAAGAAAAAAAAATGGGTTTTCATCCTGATAAAATCCAGTCAGTCTATGCTTTACGGGAAAGTGATTACGTATTACGGAAATCTTGTGCTGAACGGATGTTGAATCTTTTTCCTACGCAGCGCAGAGTCGAGAACGTTGTTTTCAGTGATGAGGCCCATTTTCACTTAGACAGTTATGTGAACAAGCGAAATTGCAGATATTGGGCACCAACGAACCCAAAAAAGAAACATCAACAACAACTATAGTCCCAAGGTTACCATATCCTCTAGCGGTATTATTGGGCCGTATTTCTTTGAAGATGAAAACGGTCATGCATTGACAGTTAATTCCAAGCGATACAAGGACATGATTGACACTTTTTTTGCTCCTATTGTAAGAACAGAACGTCGCTTCAACAGAAACGCTTGGCTTCAACAGGATGAGGCCGCTGTCCATACTTCCAGAGTATCGGTGGACACGGTGAAAGCACTTTTTCCTCAAAAAGTTATATTGAAGTTTGGAGACATTCACTGGCCTCCTAGGTCACCCGACCTCACGCCATGCGATTATTTTTTGTGGCGTTATCTAAAGTCAAAAGTGTATTTCAATAATCCACGAACACTGGAAGAGCTTAAAGCCAACATACGATGAGAAATAAGCAACATCACTCCGAAACTCTACAGGAGAGTGTTTCAGAATTTGCGCGCGCGATTAGAAAAGTGTGTCCGAAGGACTGGTAAACATTTGGACGAAATGATAGTTATGAAATAAAACCCGCCGATTTTATGAATATTTTGATAGTAATGAATATTTTCTTTTCATGAAGTTTGTATTTTTGTTTTTCTTAAATCAAAAAGTGAACTTTCCCACTGGACTCCCAGTAGTTCTCGTGGTCGATAAGCCTAGGTCTATTAAACAATGACGGGCGCTACAGAAACGCTACGGCGTAGCCGTCGGACTAAAAAACTGGGCTGAATGCCCGGACAACCTATTCCCGGTCGTAGATAATTTGAATGCATGAAATAAGCCACCCTTCAAAAAAGATCCTCTTCGACTAAAAACATTGCCATTCGAAAAGTAAACGAAACGAGGTTTTTGTATCACTTATTTTTTGTTGGTTTCTGACGCTATGGGCACAGGGCACCGTTCCTTAAATTTTTTCAAAAAATCGAAAAATATCACGGTTTTCACATCTATTCTGCTGAAATTCAAAATTTGACAAAATTGATTCTTGCTCTTTTTACCTGTTGAACCACCAGCCACCCCCATAAGAAACGGCACAAGGACAGCACTCTGGTGCCTGATCATTTCTCCTGTCATAAGTGCTGAATGCAGTACGGTTGTGGCTGAGGAATGAGTCTGAGGCATTTCCTGTATATCCACCAATCACAAGGGTGTAGTTCTGAGTCGCATCAAGAACTTGGAATTTGTCATATTCAGCCCAGACATGGTTATTCTCAAAGTCTTCTAGCTCTACGCGTAATATCAGGTTGTATTTGGCGGATATGCGCTGAAGGAAGTCATTTCCCATCCAAAAATCTGCAGAAAGATCTCCGAAACCTTGTTCATAATCCTCCCAAGTTGCATTAAAATTATGCTGGGTACTATAATCATCCCTTCTTTGTATCACAGTCCATAATCCGTCATTTTGAATGTCACAGTATCTGCAATATTTTATACTGATTGCTAGCCATAGATGAGCAAATAATCTATTCAGACCAGATCTGCAGATATACTTCGACAGATCTGGATCTCGGACATTTGTTTCATTATGCAAAAATACCTATATTCATTCCGATTATATAAACCCTTTTCGACACATTTGCATTCCAACTCTCTAGCGAACATTCAAAAAATTCCCTCAAAAGAAGCAAGTCATTTAGGGGGATCTACATAGTAGCTGAGGGTCCGCATCTGAAAAGACAGAGCTAAATGCGGAGTCCTACTTTGCCGTTAGGAAGAACTGAAAACCCGCAGATTACACATTTTTATTTTAAAATTCCATTTGATTTCACTTCTTGAGCCCATAACGTAACGACTTAAAATGATGGATATTTGTCTGTACCTCAAGCGTCTTGGCGCCGTGATCTTCATTTAATATCCAGGACATATTCAGTGGAATAAAAAGCGCTCAATGTACTCCTAGCCATTTGAATGTGCGATAGTGTTGGAATGCAAATATCGCGAAAGGTAGTTAATTGAAATATTTAAAAATCAATACTCTACCATAATTTTCTACCAAAATAATAAAAAAGGGACCTAGCTAATAGTTCTAACATGAAAAAGCAAGACTATAAGCTATAACTGACGCCACCTACATACCATGTTGAAGACAACCCTTTTGCCAATTTTCATGTCGATACCACAAAAACAGCTTAAGCTATAGAGAAATAAAATGCGAATGAATGAGCGACATTTCACTAGGACATATTTAGCTTATCTCATTTTTTCGAGGATTGCTTTTTGCATGCACTACTGATTACCCTATATAAGTAAGCTTTAACTTAAAACATTTTACGTACCTCTTTTTATAAGACACGTTCCCATCTCCCAAACCATCTTTTTCAAAAATATAAACGCCACTTGGATCGTCATACGACAAATCTTCACAAGAAGACTTGTTTCTATCTAACACAGGTCTCCATGTTGGTTGAAAATCTACTGTGGTTGGTCTGGATGAAGATGGAACCTCTGGTAGAGGTGCACTTGTAGAAATATGTTGAACATGAGTTTTTGTCGTAGGTAAGAAATTATAGCGAAAGCATTGCTTCATATTTGTATCAACAATAGTCTCCAAGTAAGCCCTCTGCTCACTAAAATGAGCTTTTAATACATCGTTGAGGTCTTTCCCCAATGTTCGGGTCTCGTCACTCAATAATTGTTTCAACGAAAACATGTTTTGTCTATTATACATCAGTTTTGTTATGTTTTCGGTATTCAAGGCACTTCTGAGTAGTTCTTCAATAATTAGACTCGATTTGCCACAGTCGTGCATTTTATTTGGGATGCTCTCAATATCTGCAGTTCTGTTTAGTAGTACTTCCATTGCTTGGTCAATCTTTTGGTATCTTTGGATATTTAATGTGAGATGCTCTGAAATCGTTGTTTATTGATGTAAAAGTATACATTCTAACATAGTGAAAGAAGTAAAAACACTTAAAGAGTATAGTAATATAATTTTAATTACCCTTTTCTAAAGCCCCATATATTCCTTGAATCGTTGGCTCACCTTCCTCACCATTTGTCGTTCTAGTCCGTATATTTTTCACAAATTCTAGAGTTTGCTTGGAATAAGTTTCAATACTTTTAGTTTTATTAAGAACCTCCTTTAATAGTTTGTGAGATTGCTTACAACTCTGCGCACATTTTGTAGCCTTATTTTTCCCAAGAGATCTTTTAATATTCATTGTTGCCCCACTTCCTTCAACGTCCACGTATTCTTCGTAATCGTCGCTCTCTTCTTTATCATTTGTGATATTGTCGAATATAACGTCCACTTTTGAAGATACATCGTTCAGCAAGTCTTCAATCATTCGAGGTATGTTACATTTTACTTGGAGTTTTGGCTTTTCAACACCTTTGCCCTTGAAGAAAAAGTGAATACAATATATAAACGATTCGAACTCAGAGTTTAAGGATATTTTGATTTTATCTTTTATTTCGCAGATAACTCTGAAACCAATTGAATCTTTTAAAACAATTTAGTGAGATTACGCAGGAATTAGTCGCATGAATATTTGTGATGTATAGATTATAGTCCAAAAAATATGATTAAAATATTGAATTTTTCATCACCTCAATACTTCCTCGCTTATTAAAAACAGGGCCTATATAGGCCAACCGATATAAATTACAATATTAATACGCTCAATGTCATAGAATTGAAGACAACACAACTTTTTGTTACGTGTGTAACGAAACTTAACAGCCATTTTCAGCCTTCAGTTTCACCTGAATTGTGTAATGATTGAATTTTTATAAAATCGTCTGTGTTATAGTATATAGAAAATTAATCTATATTACTTGACGTGTTCGCTATTTTTCCAAAAAAGATGTTTTTTGCTTAGGCCACAAATTGCAGTATCGACATCGTCAGTGTTTTGATCAGTAACTTTGTCCCAGACACCACTACTTTTCCTTATTCTTAACATTTTCGTACAGCATCAAACCGAAATTAATTTTATGACTTATGAAGGTATGCATGGGAAAACTCCTTATAGAAATGTTTGCATTTCTATACAGCTAATTGTACAAGTCGGGCTAGCACAAGCACATACTCGTATAGGTACGTATCCATAGCACCAGTAGTTCACTTTATTTTTGTTTTTCGAAACTGTAGTTTGCCAGCATTTTCATCACATGCGGCACATTTTTTTAGTTTTATTTTGATGAGTCAAAATGAAAGCAAACAAAAAGGGCCTGTTCGAGGCAACCATTCTGCTATATGATGTTACCGTTCAAGCCCGTGTATCAACGAATTCAAACTAGGTAGAAGGAGCAAGCCTATACGATGTGTTTGCCTCCAAAATCTTAGTCTGGACTCAGGATGAAAGTAGAAAGTGAGTTGATGAGTTAATTTTTTGATAGTTCTGTCATTAAATTCGTATTCGTAGTTTCAGTGTTTTATAGTGTTAGATGATTTCAGTACATGATACTTCTGCATAATTTGCACAGAGCGGTACAAGCCTAATGGAGGTAGGAGGTAGGTAAGTATTATAATGATGTTGATACAACATCAACATTGTCACTTTGGTAGGCAATGCCAGGTAATCAAATGAGTCAAAGGTATGCACTAAATCTACGCAATTTTGGCGACAAACAATGCAGTGTAAACATATAGGCTATTCGAATTGGCTGATTTGTACCATCTGGCGGAAAAGGCACTCGATTGTGTACTGAAGAAACGAACGGCCGATTACACCGATATATCGGCCTCTGACATCGGTATCGGCCGATTTATCGGTATCAGCTAAAATCCTATATCTAATTAGAAACATTCGATATACCCAATTTTGATTGGGAAGAAGCAATCTGTCAAGTTTTCTTTCGACTGATTTAATTGCACTCAGGACTCCTCTTGACGTAAACTCGTTAAGTAGAGGATCAGTGTAGATCTTTGTAGTTTTGGCAGTGAGAATAGTGTCTAGGCTACTTGCTGTTGATTCGATATTCTTCAACGCTTTGATCGTGTTGTCTAGCTTGTATTCCATCGAAAGGACAGCATTGAGTTTTCCGTCCAGTGCCAGTACTTTTTCTTGACCCCTAAAACATATCATGTGGGCAGGAGGGCATAGTATTGAATACAGGATGGTTAAAAAAACAATGGCAATATTAATAAGGCAGAAAGTGCGTTAAAATAACATAATATAGTTTAAAATGTCTTGTTATGAATATACAGGGTGTGGCCAATGATGAACCTGATTAGGTACAAAACGTAAACATTCCTCATGCTCATACAATGCGGTCGCGAGATGGCATCATTCCCCTCATATGCCCGATGCAAACTACACTATCTTTACAATAAATAAGATAGCACAAAGTGCCATTTATTACCAAAATTAACCACTGCGAAAGTGAAAACAACAAGCTGCCTGTTGGTGACCAGGCTGACAATGCGAACCAGGATGCAGTTCTAACAGACAGTTTACTGTTTTTACTTTCGCAGTGGTTAATTCCATTAAAATAGATGGTACTTTCAGCTGTCTTATTTCTATGAACATTATACTCTGAATAGAGTGGAGTTGCGAAGTTTTCTTTCGTGTACGCCGAGACCAAGCATACGTCATGCTGAGGAGTTGCCAAATAGCACGAAGCAGCTGTCCATGGATGGCCGTCTGTGGTTGAACGACGGATGTTATATTAGTTAACCTTAATATATATTTTTCAAGTAGAAAGATTCACTTCCTACGCCACTGGCACTAGCGAGGAACTATTGTAATCGCGAAAATCTACGAAAATGAGATATGTTGTTTGGATATATGACGTCAAGAAAAAGCATGTTACTGATTTCGGACTATTTATGTAGTTTATGAAAATCGTTCTTGTGTCGGTGGAGTTACGGGCAAAAAATGAATAAATAAAATTACCTACTCTAATTTGTTTTTTTGTTCCTGATCATTTCCTGGAAAACTTTTGTAGGGGTTAAAAATTGGAAGCAAAATGTTCCAAGGGGTGGGGGCATTTCAATTTTTTGGAGCCAGTATATTCATACGTATCTAATCCTGGTAATTATATGCACCCAACAGATCGCGTCTCATTGATGAGTGTCGGTATTTCTTAGTCGGTGGTAGCCGCCGTGTCTAGGCTGGCGAGCGACGAACGGCAAGGGTTGAGCGAGGTTAGTCAAAGCAACGTTGCCTGATTGTCGGTACTGTCGGTAGGATAGAGAGAAACGTCTATGAACTAATTGTATCGGCCTGTTCGACTGACAAGATCCATTTAATTTTTTTGTTATGCGCACATAATCGTAGCTCACTTTTTTCTCAAAGGAGCTAACTTGTGCATTTATGAACTGATGACAGCGTTGCATAGGAGGTGCAGAAGCAATCTACTTGACAACATTTTTATAAGGATCTGGTTCATATTAACACCCATTTTATCATTCGTATATATCTGCTTGCATTATTTTTGGATTTACTTCATACCCTAGAAATGTTGCCACTGTATCGTGAATAGCACAAAATGAACTCACTTGTTGATGATATCAATCTTTCTATCCATGGAAGCAAGTTGATCATTCCAGGCAGCAACATGAAGTTGAAATGTATCCCAAACATGTGCTCTTTCTTGCAAATTATGAATGTTGCTGTCTATGCTTGCCAGAGTAGAGGCGGTTGAAGTTATTCTTGGCTCCAATGAGGTCACGAATAAGGTATTCCACTTCTCCCATTGGTCTGGTAATGCAAAAGCCATTTAATTACATTCTTGTAATAATTGTAATATGTACTTAGTTTGATTATATAACATCTTGGAGGTCATGCAGTTTCTAGACCTTTAACTCAGTTGTGCAGAGGTAGATGAAAAATCTGACAATCTCCACGTACCAAAATGCTTTGCAAAGCCACTCGTAGGTGGTAGTATTTTGAGTTTTTCAAACTTCTATCCCACTTGTTTGCTTTCCATTCATCTGTTTCCAGGACTACTAGACCTATACTGCATTGATGAGTTACTTATTTATTTTAAGATTACAATATTCGCACAATCGATCAATTAGCTATAGATGTTGAAAAATTAAATTTGAAAAACCTGCAAGATTCTGAGAATATTTCTATTTTGTCACAAGTACTTTAAAAAACACCGCAACAAAGTTGTGATGAGGTAATAGTTATTTTGTATTGCGATCAGCTTGAAGCTCGTAAATGTCCGAGGTCGTAGCCATAAAATGAAATTATAAACATTAACTCTTGTAGTAACAGAAACAAACAATATATTTTTAACGTGTTGATACAGGAGTTAGTGCTTCTCTTACATTTGAATATGCTAAAAATAAACCTGGTGCTTCACAAGCTTCAGAATAAAAATATTCATAACGATTTTAAGAGTGTAATAAAAAGCAAATGAAGTTGAAGGAACTTTATTTTTCTGTGAGAGTATAATATGATCAATAATATCGAGTAGCCTTTCTTGGTTCTCACTCATCCGTATTCAAATTACGTACATCAATAAAAATTCTAAATATTCTGTAAATCGTATTTCGACTAGTTTGCCCCTTGAGTATCTTTAAAAAATTCCGCTGATTACACTCTCGCGCAATCAGATAGTCGTAAAAATTTGCTAAATTATTTAAGTTCTCTGATACTTGATAATAATTGAGGAGATTTCAAAAATAGTGCAGCAAAAGCTATTATTAAGCACCTAAGATCAAAGCAGTAGTTGTTGAAATACGCGACTGAAAGCTCCGGACGGACAGACTAACCGCTGGAATGAGTAATTTTGATTATCGCTATAGAGGCTTAAGAGATATTACGAAATATAGAGCTTTGTGAATACACTGCTACATTTCCTTACTCATAATAAAATAAGTAAATCATATTACATATCAGCCTTATCGGCTCATCTTTATACAAAAAACAAAGAAAAAACGAAAATACTGAATAACAAACAAAATAAATGTAATCGGATACGAATAACATGAGATTAGTGTAAGTATTGCAGAATTGCATATTTATATTATTATTAGCAATCCTATACAAAAAGGAAGGAAGGAAAACAGTAACTTACCTGACAGAACTTTGATGGTATTCTTCACCGTAGACAATTCAGCTTGCAATTGACCTAGACCAGGATTTGCAAGACTAGGAGGGACACATTCTACTACCAGTACACTCATTGAGATGAACAGAATCATTGTTATTATGTGCTTCATTTTGATTGGTGTTATTATTCACTTTTTTAGAAAGCAAAACGGATGTTCACCTTGCGAATATAAATAGAAAAATCAATCGATTTTATACCCATCATTCATTTAACATGGTATAGAAGAACTCATAGTGCTTCAAGCAAAAAAGTACACAAAATTTATAAAATATACTACTATCTATAGCCGCATCACAAAAAATACTCTCTGTTTCTGTTCTTTATACACAAATAAATATTGGAACAGTTAAAAATTACGACACGCATAAAAATTTTAAAGATTTAAAAAACCTACGATAACGAAATTTGTGAGCGATACGGTACATTTTTTGTGTATTGTTTATAACTCTGGCCACTGAATGGATTTTCGATAATAAAGCGAGTACGACATTTTATCACTCCCGAAACAATATCAAAATTTTTGCGCGCCAGCGTTTGCTGGGATTATGCCGTTATAAAAACAGCAAGAAGAAAATCAAGATTCCCTTGATAAAACAAGAAAACATGATCTGAAAAACCTATTCTAACACTAACACTATCAACTATATCGCTGATCGAGTATTTCGGGACTCAGACTGGAATACCGCAAGCTGTTGGTAGTTGTTATGGGTAATGTAAACGCACTCTTCAAGGCCGCATATGGTGAGATTGGTAGCTACAAAGAGTGGCAGCGTCCAAAAAAAGAGCGACAGCTAAAGGCCACTGATGCCCAAAAATAACAGATGCTGCTTCTGTTAGTCTGAGATTCGATGTACTACGAAATGCCCGTCATAGGCTGACGGATACCAATTACGGTAAAAACTTTGTCTAGACGTTGCTAAAAAAATTATTCTATTTTCTATTGGTGCTATTTTGTTGCAAACAGTATTTTAGATGCTACAACTTTCAAGGCTAAAGTCGAAGCTTAGATGTAAAGCCTGCGTTTGTGAAAAAAAATCAGAAATTGCCAGTTGCGTCCTTCCAGGGTGGACTCAATAGCATCCATAGCGAAAATTACTGACTTCCGTTACTGATATATGGGTATACGTGAAAACCAAATTTGTCTAACTGCTTGAGTACAATTTCCAGGAGAGAGAAGCACAAGAAGTGTGTATCTACACATGTTAGAAAGAGACAGAAGCCGGCTGAAGAGCGAAGGTTACCACATTGCCTAGCGACGGTGACGCAGAAGGTCGTGCAATCTGCCGCGTTGCTAATAGAAAAGCTTGCCTTGAAATGTACGAAATACGGTGTTGCCCAGCGAACCAATTAGCGTCAGGAATTCGGAATCGATCCTCAGCAGATTCGATACAATTCACAATTCACGCTCTTGTTCAAAATAAAACCATTATTTGGGCATATAGATAAACTAACGTATATTTTCAACATGCATATTAATTCAAGGAATTGATGGAACATATTGGCAACTCGGCAGATGGTCGCGTCAGCGTTAATAATAATAATATAATAATAATCTTTATTTGTTCTGTGGATCATTTGTCATGACATAGAACACGTCAAGGTACTCATACATCTTGAAACTAAGACAAGCATTACAAAAATAGATAAATAAAAATAAAAACAATACACATATGAAATATATGACAGTCCCAAAAACAATGAACAAAAATACAACAAGTACATATTAAAATAAATCGGCCAAGTTAAAATATATAAATAAAAATAAATAAAATACAAGAACCAGAAATAATATGCTACAGTAAAAAATGTATATGGGACTGATAATAATAATAATAATAATAATTTATTCATCCTTTGGATCACAAAGTGATATAGGATAAGTCAATTGAATATTTGTATAAACAGAATTGCCTACATACATAAATAACATTCAAAACATCAAATAAAAACACGAAGTGTATAAACATGAAAACAAATTAAAATACAAATTAACAAATTAAAATTGAACCATACATTAAAACAATTAAAAAAGACTATCACTCATTAAAAACTCTTCTATAGAGTAGAAAGCTTTATCAAGTAAAATTTGCTTGATTCTTTTTTTAAATAATATCAGCGGTAGTGATTTACAATCAATGGGTAGTTTGTTGAAGAGTTTTATTCCCATGTATTTGGCACTCTCCTCCGTTCTAGACAACCTATGTGCCGGCACCTCCAATACTTCTCTGTTTCTGGTATTATAAATTCCAGAATTTATAGAACTAAAATTGTTCAGGTGAGATTTGACGTAAATCAATATATTCAATATATATACTGAAGGCACCGTCAAAATCTTCAAATCAGTGAATAGTTCCCTGCAACTAAAGCGCCTTCCCACCTTTGCAATAGTTCTAATAGCTCTTTTTTGTAATATAAGAAGCCTTTGTAATTTGGAGGATGCTCCCCATGCTTCTATTCCATAAGTCAGAGTAGAATGGAAATGTGCATGGTAAAACATTAACAATATCCACTTATCAACGATAAAACTTAGCTGATACATGCAATAGCAAAGAGAGGTAATCTTTTGACTAACTTTCTCTATATGCGTATCCCATTTGCAGTTTTGCGATATGTGTATTCCTAAAAATTTTATAGTTTCTGCTTGTTCCATGGATCTACCGCTTGATTTTATAAGGAGACTACGATCCATGTGCATGTTAGAGTAGTTAAATCTGAGAAACACTGTCTTTTTGTGGTTTAAGACCAGGCCGTTATTAATGAACCATTGCTCTGCACTAGCTAAGCTTGTGTTGGCATTTCTTATCACTGACTCTAGGTTTTTTCCATTAATAAGTAATGAGGTATCATCAGCATACATTACCGAGGATTTGGCGGGAAAGTCATTGACATATATTATGTATAGGAGAGGACCAAGTATGGAACCCTGTGGAACCCCTGTATGATATAGGTGCTGGTCAGACTGTGCAGTCAGTACTTCAACATAATGTTTTCTGTTGCTTAGATAACTGTGAAACCAGTCAAATGGCTTACCTCTGATTCCATATCTATCCAATTTATCCAAAAGTATTACGTGGTCAACTAAATCAAAAGCTTTACTCAAGTCAAGAAATATTCCTACACACTTTTCACCATTGTCCATTTTCAAATACAGTTCATCAAGAAAATGAAGCACAGCGTTTTTGGTTGACAAACCTTTTCTGAATCCAAACTGTATGCTATTGAATAATTTGAACCTGTCAAAAAAATTGACAATTTGTAAGGAAGCATATTTCTCAAATACTTTCGCAAAGGGACTGATTAGGGAGATTGGCCTAAAATTACAGATGTCGTGGTTATCACCAGACTTGAACAAGGGCTTAATTTTTGCAACTTTAAGTTTATCTGGAAATGTCCCCTCCTCAATGGAACAATTAATTAGAAATGCTAGAGGTTGGCTAAGGAAACTAGATGACATTTTTAAAATATTTGCACTAATTTTATCTGCGCTAGTCGAGTTGGAGTTTTTAAGGTTATTTATTATTGATATTATGTCACAACTTACAGCGGGTTGAAAATAGAAAGAGTGACTGTTTCTATCTATATTATTTCCATTATTTCCTGTTCCATTACGTTCATAGGAGCCTGAAATATCATTAAAATGCTGCATAAATTTTTCGGCAATCTCTTTTGATTCGGTTATTATTTTATTTTCTATGTTTAAGTTGATGATTTCGTGCTTAGGTGTGTTTCTGTTTTCGTTTATTACATTCCAAGCACTTTTTGTTTTATTTTTTGCATTTAGTATAATTTTGTTGTAATATAGTCGCTTAGCTGCTCTTAAAACTCTGGCATATACCTTTTTATATTTTTTATAGAAATCTATAAGAAATACATCTCCCGTCTTAGACAAATTATACAGATAGTGAAGCTTATCTCTTGATATTAGGATACCTTTTGTAATCCATCGTTTTCTGGCTCTTGCTTTTACGGTTTTGGTTATAACTGGGAATGCTATGTCAACGTAATACTGAAACGTTTGTAGGAATAAATCAAACTTCTCATTAATATCCCCAGTGGAATGATAAATGTGGTCCCAGGTTTCTTGACCTAGGAGAGCTAAAAAATTGTTGATGTTGGATTTATTATACAGGTCTTGGTACTGGTAGGAAATCTGAGGTGGCTGTTCATCTTTTTGATAGTATAGAGTTAATAATTGAGCAAAATGATCGCTAACATTATTGTTTACTACTGCAGTATCACACTTTACATCCACCCCTACACAAATATTGTCTATGCAATTAGATCCTCGCGTAGGTTGTTTGATAACAGGCTTCAGTGAATATGAGCTTAAAACATCCAACAGACAATTTAAATCTAAAGAGTTTTTGTTAAAATTTATGTTAAAATCACCACAAAGGACAATACCACATTTTTTACATTTAATGTTTAAAATATTTAAAAGGTCTTCAAGTTTTTCTAAAAAAATTTTAAAATCGGCATCAGGACTTCTATACAGAGAAACAATAACCGAATTGAGGTTTTCGGTTATAACTTGAATTCCACTACATTCGAAATGCTTATCAACTGAAATATCATTCAAATAGTCTAGATTATTGTATTCTAGTCCTGCTTTGAGGTATATACATGTCCCGCCATGATGAAAAAGCTTTCTACAGTATGAAGTTGCTAAAATGTACTCGTGTATATATAAAGACATAATTTGGTCAGAATTTGCCCAGTGCTCAGAAACACAAAATATATCACAGTTATTTTCATTTAGAAACACTTCAAGCTCAAGTAGTTTGTTACTAAGGCATTGCACATTTTGATGAATTATTTTTAAACTATTTGAGTTATTTCCATTAAAAATACAACCATTTTCATTGAATTGTTCACTACATTGATTATTTGGAGCTCTATCAAAGAAAAAGCTTGCACTTTGATGAGGGGGTTGTATCAATTACTCTCAATACTATATTTGTGTGATTAGTGTACTTCATAAATTCGTTTGCTACCATTTTGAGTACCGCTATCGGGTTAGACACGTTAGTCTTAAATTTGAGTGATATATTGGTATTCGTATTTATGAATCTGGCTACTGCCCTACTTAAGTAGTTTTCTACCCTAAAATCCTCAACATGACTGCGATGCGTCATGATAAATAAATTAGTTAGCTTACTAAGTGGAAGCAAATGCCTCAAAGCAAAATTTAATTGCTTAAAGTTGGATATATTCATAGAGCTCACCATTACAATAATAAGGTCATGTTTACCATACTGTTGCGAGTAGTGGAACAATGACTTAGCTAACTCCGAAAACTCTAAGCCAGGCTTTACTACACCTTCTATAATTATGTCTCGATTAGATAACAATGAATGCAACACTATGGAACCGCTTTTCGCAAACTCATCACCGATAATTAGTACTTTGCGTTTCTTATCTGTTTTATGGATTTCACTAGCTTGCACGGGCAAAACTTCACTGGCATTAAGTAAGCTTATATTTTCTGTAACTGCTTCAAGTAGAATTGCCTCCCGTTCCAACAAACTGTTGTCATGCATTCCGTCATCATTATTTGAAACTTCTGTAGAGTATTCTTCTGCAATATGTTTTTCTTCGCTCCTTTGTCCTTTTTGTTTTATGGATACGTTATCAAGATCCAAGTCACTTTCAGTATTTAATGTTTTTCCATCTATTCCTTGATTAAGTTCCATTATTTGATTCAGTTGCTCAATTTGTTCAATTTGTCTGCTGATTTCTTGATTCAATTCTCCGTTTCTCTTCTTTACATCTGCTACTTTATCCTCCATGAATTTTATACCAGCTTCAGTTATATCGGTTTGCGTCTGTGTATGAAACAGTTGTTTGTTCACTGATAAATTATCGAGAGTTTTTTGTAGAGTACTTATTATTTAATTTTTATTGGATAGCTTTAGTTTCAGTTCTTTAATTTCTTCCAACATACTTGCGTTTTTCTCCATTATGTCTTCGTTTATGACCTGCTGCTGTGCGAGTTTATTTCTAAGGTTATCAATAATATTATTAGACATATCCTGATTATCATCAGAATCATAGTCACATTTTATACTTATATAACTCGTATTAGCAGAAGATGATGCTCCTTTTGTCAATTGAGAAGTTGATGGTGTTTTCGTTGGTCTATTTGCCTTTAAGTTGCGAACATTGGATCTTGTGAGAACCTTAGACATTGTGCTAGCTATTATTGCTTGTTTGCTTTGATTCCCACCCAGTTACTGATATGCGTCAAGTAAAGATAATTTGAAGAAGATCCGATTATGTTACACCACTGGGTCAAAGGAATGTAGTGACTTACTCGATATGCTATGTTTACGATTGTCCCATTCAAATCAAATACAGAAAATTCGAGCTGAACAATCTTCACATGGGAAATCAACACATTCAAATAACTAGATTATAACACTCGCACTATTAAATTCACACAGACTATCACAATTTTATCAAAAAATTTCGGATCGAATCTAAAGACATTTCAACTCTTCATAGGCGCGCGCTATTGGCAACGCGGTGATCAGCTTCGCTATCCAGCCGGCTTCTATCCCTCTCTAACATATGTGTCTATACACACTTCTCTCCCGTACACATTGAACTCAAGCCGTCAGACAAATTTGGTTCTCAGTGTATTTTGGCGAACACAACTTTGTATACTCTGATGTAGTCATTCTTTATCTTGCGTCCGATTCAGATGCTCCTTAAAAACCTTCTCACTCATTTCCTTTAGCTATGTCGATTTTGAAAATCGATCAATTGGCGGCAGCTAGAAACGAAAAAATAGATAAGTAAATAAAAATGACTAATAACTCGTTTGACAATAGTGAAATATGTTCTATTATTAAGAAATTTTTTAACCCGTGACCGAGCGCCCATTGTGTAGAATGTATTGCAATATAATAGCGTAAAAGTGCCACATTCTTGTTATCAGTCGACAAATGTACCTACACTCCGCAGTTTTGCTTAGTATTATCATCAAGTTTCCTGTCAATACAAAAGTTAATGTTTCCGAAATCAGCCGCAGATTATTCTCACAGTTCAGAAAACGTACCCTTTTATCACGTATACTTTTAAAAGTGCCTGATTAATGAGTTCGAACAGACTGTCGGTTAAAAAGACGTCGAGGCAACACCAGGGCCACTCTACATCACTCACCTTACAACTCAGACCTGTATTACTCTGATATTCCTATGTTTTACCTAACCACTCAAAGAGGCCGTTGGTGGATAACATATCACAACAAACGAGGACTTACGAGAAACAGTTCGTTGTGTAAATAGAAGGGGGCTGTATAGGAGAACGATCAAAATTGGAATCAGAATATTTCTTTGGAAAAAGCTCCTTTAAATTGGATCCATATCAGTAATTTTGAAATATCTTATTTAATGGGATCCCGGACTATTTTTTTATTTATTAGATCATTAGGTGTGTGAAGTGATGAGAATTCATGCCAATGTTTATCCACTATGAAAAGGAAGTGGCCGATTAATTTTAAGTTTGAACGCTCACAAACGGATATAACTTTCATGACATCATGCCCATTACTTTGAGCCGTAATCGATCATGTAAACAATCACAGTTCACAATTTTTTCACAATATGTAAGTATATATTTACATATTGTTTTCATTGTTTCATCGATTGGTGATTCTATGTGCAATAACATAAACTTTCACGATACAATGAACCAGATTTATCGAGCCGGAGAGGAAGTGTATCAGGAAATCGTATTGAAATCAAAAATGATCACTGGGGAAAAGCCGTCTTGCCATTGCGAGATGAAATGTTGAACCCTTCAATTACGACTGTATCTTACGACCAGACAGAAAGTTTGCCACCTATTCGCAAAGCTTCCCTGGGAGGCTCTAAGATGGCAATTTAGGTTTGATCTCTGTTGTCGAAAACCTAACTATTCTATTCAAACTGTGACGTTTAAAATACTTAAATTCTCTAATGAAGCTAATCGCAGGAAGGTATGGAATCGTCTCTGGTTTTCAGTCCGTGCGCGAACGCGCGTTAAATTATCGCCGAGCTGCATGAAAAAAACGCACGTTGAAACGCGCGACTAGTTGCTGTTCACATGGATCTCGCTTCGACCCGCATCTATAAGTATTGACGAGCATTTTGAATGACACGAGCGTCATCCAAAATGTCGCGCTGCAAAACGCGCGTCCGTAGTGTGTCCATCTTCATCAATGTAATGCAAAACGCAGTTTTTTTGCAGCGCGATAATTCACAAATCATCTGAACTAAAAGCCTTTGCTGGTGTTGAATTATATCGGCATCTTTCTGACATTTTTGAGTCTAAATGTTTTTGCTTTGCCTTTATCAGTATCAATAAAAACGCCTAATAGACTTTTGCTTACATTTTGTAACCCACATGTATCTATTTTTTTAAATTGTACAGTTTAAAAGACAATGAGAGTATGGAGCCTTGATCGTATATTCGTAATTTGAGCAGGAAAAACCGAAAAAAGTATTTGGGGCATCCAACAAGGACAAATATACAATTTTCAGTACAATGATGAGCGATAAATTATTTGTATGTATTTCACATTTTAACAACAATTATAATAACAGTAGATGGCAATTTATATCAAATTTTATTCAATGTATGAAAAATAATCACTTCCGTTTTGAGTTGAAAAACGAACCGCGAAGTGTGACAGTCATACCGATCATCTCACTCTCGATGTCACCACAATATTCGGAAACAGATTATTGTGTGTGATGTGGCAAAACATTGCAACATCATGCAAGTGGTTCGATTCTTCCCCGAAATATTTTTCATCTGGATTATGATCGGAAATGTTACATCGTTTAGAATAAGGGGTAAGTATTTTGAACTTATAAAATTGTTTACTACTACTCATGCCAAAAATAAGCATATGAGTCAGATGTCTTTGAGTTAACATCAGCAAAAACTATTTATACTCACTTCATCAATTTAACCGTTAGCAGTTGACAGTAAGGTTTTAAATTTGTATATGCTTCGTTATCTATCATCTTACCGATTCTTTTTTTACAGTTATATTTTGAACTCGGTATTTTGGAAATTTCGCATCTTTTGCACCAAACGATGGGCTGTGGCATCATTTAGTGCAAAAGTAATGTAAGTTGAAACATATGTGGTCGCTGGGATAATTTTGATCGAAATATCTTGCTTTTTGTGCACATAAAACAAATAAACGTATATTTTAATTTTTTCACATAAGCTTCATAGTCTCGGAAAACAATTAATACACAATATTGCTGGATGAAACACTTTAGCACGTACGAGGGACTCTTGCCAGAGCTTTCTTTAACATTATTTTCTTTATTCCCAATACCAAGATATGTCTTATAAAATTTCAGATCCAAGCAAGATAATGACAGCTGGAAGCAATCAAGAACATAACCAGAACTACCAAAACCAGAACTATCAAATAAACCAAATCGATGACAATTTTTTCCTAACAACTGCTGTACCTGATTCTCTACCAACTTCGACACCTGGTATAACCATCGACGAAAATGCAATGCTTACAACACTACCCATAACCATATTAACATCTGAGATCACTGAACCACTAACTACCACATCTCAAAGCACCTCAAAACCAACCACTCATCAAACAACAAATGAAATACAAGAAGAAACAACAGTTGTCACTACACTTTTGACCTCAACTTCTTCGTCTTCTTCTGCAACAATTTTCTCTACCCCAGAATCTAGTGTATACACATTACCCACGTCGTCATCTACCTCGGTCGAAACTAGTTCAGCTGCAACTACAACTATGGAGCTAACCTCAACTACGTCAAATTTGGATTTATCCTCCTCATCTTTAGCTTCAACTATCTTGAGTACAATGACAATTGCTTCAAACAAACCTTCAACAGTACCAGTCACTGAAACAACTTCAGAATCAAGAACTTCTACCGCTTCTCCTACTGAGTCTGACAGCTCAGATGCTATAATATTTCCGGACGAGGATGACAATGTTTCAGACACATATGTGACTTTTCCTCCTCTTATTTATCAACTCATATCATCTCAAGGACAGCGATTTGGTTATGCCGTTCCTGGATTTGTTATTCCCTCAGAAATCAAAATCTACGTGAACTTTCCCAATTCGACTATATTTGTGCCTGGTGTTATTCAAGGTAAGTCAGATCTATCTATATACAGGGTGCGGCAGAGGGGACGGACGTTTTTGGGATAGGTAGTACTCTCCGCCTCCGTCTAGAAGAGAGGTGGGGAGGGTGCCGTTTGACTCGTGAGACCCTAGCATTATTTTACCAGTTGTCGTTATGGAGCCTTGGACGGTGGAGCACCGCGTTTTCGCCTATGATTTTTTCGTCCGAAATAATGAGTCAGTCATCGTCGTACAGCGTGAGTTTCGTCGCCACTTCAACATTCATCGGAATAGAGCTGTTCCCTCTCGAAACACCATCCTTCGTTGGGTTGAATCACTTCGCAGGCGTGATGAACTGATCAACAGAAGACCAAGAGGAGCACCGCGAACAGGTCGAACTCCTGAAAATGTTGAACGCGTTCGACAGGTCTTTCTTCGCAGTCCGGCTCGATCGGCCCGGAAACATGCTGCTGCACTTCGCCTTAGTGATCGTTCGGTAAGGCGAATTTTTCATATGGATCTCCGCTTTCACCCCTACAAATTGGCCATTGTGCAACAGTTACAGCCCGGAGATTATGCACAACGAATGAACTTCGCACGTGGCGATGTTCATTGGCCTCCTCGGTCCCCAGATTTATCCATATGTGATTTTTTCTTATGGCGACACCTCACGGCTAGAGTATATGCGAACAAGCCCCGAACTCTGGACGAATTGAAGGGCGAAATTCGCGTGGAAGTCGCCCAAGTTGATAGAGCGACGTTTAAGAGAGTCTACGCGAACTTAAAATAACGCCTCCAGCACTGCATCAACGATTTCGGCCACCATATGCCTGATGTGATTTTCCACACTTGACTGTCTCAAATGCTATTTAGTTGTGAACCTGAATCCACCAATAAATTTGTTTTCGAGTAAAAATTAACTATTTTATGATTTTTTTAAAACCGTCCATCCTCTCTGCCGCACCCTGTATATTTTATATTTCGGCGTAGTTTCAATTCGTTCAAATAATTAAAATGTTGAATATAACTTACTCTATTTTAAGATGAAGCAAAATTCTATTTTTTAGCAGTTCTACATTATTAATACTATTATCACTAAATAACTAAATCAGTTTACAGCATTCAGCAATATAGATCTGACTTATTCTGTTCATTTGCAGCAACTGCAGATACATTAACAAACAAAACTACCGATAAAGAGGCACCCAAAGAGGACTCATCTAACAAGGCACCATCCGGTACCAAAAATATTACTGAAAACACTGAAAAACAAGCCGCAACTAACACAGAAGCACCAAACATACAAATACATGTTGACGGGGTATCTGAGGAAAATACCTCAGGTGAAAAAACACTAAAAATATATTACTCAAACAAAAACGCACATAGTATACAAACACCAAATGACGAAGCACGTAAGGAAAAGCATGAAATGGCCACAAATAACAAGGAAATTCTCACCAGCGTAACAACACTCACTGAAGAAACATTGGACACCACCTTATTCACAACACACGACTACGAAGTACCAAATAATGAAGAAGCTATTATACAAACACAAAGCACTACCATAAGCACTGATATTTTGGTCACGCTATCACCTAACACTGGATCAACAATCACTGAAACTGCATCAAACATTATTATAAACGATTTTATAGATACCTTCAAAGGTATAAATTTTTGTTTACTTTCTCAAAATCCTTCATTGTCTTTACTGCTATACTTGTGGTATTATCCCTCTTTCACTCAATCTTTTATTTTGTAAGCCTAGTTGTCCCTCTGAAAAGAAATTTTACCGGAAACCTTTACGAAATGTCGAAACTTCGTGGTAAAAACATAATGTTAAAGACATAATTAAAATGGTTTCCATTGGTCTCGTTGCAAAGGCAGTAAAGATTTTCTGTTAAATACAAAGAATGCCAAATTCTGTTTCAGAAAATATTGACTTATCGCACAATACCCAAAATAATGATTTTGGTCAGAACTCAGGCCAGTTCGTTGGTCCAACTTCAATTCACAAAATAAGTAAGTTATGTAGTTAATTGATAAGTCGTGAATATTCAACATCATTTTAATTTCCAGAATGTGAGGAGTATTCTAGCTATTTCAGAAATTTTAAAGATGTACCGAAAGAACAAAATAGTCTTCCTTTCCAATTATTCATTGTTGGTGGAGTAGGGTCTGAGGAGAAAGAATTTCCACACATGGTAAGATCACTTTTTCTGCACTGATATTACATAACAAAGGAGAGAAACAAGCTCTGAACTAGAGTTTGAACATCCATTTTCAGGCTGCATTAGGATATGGAAAAGGAGAAGAAAAACAATGGCTTTGTGGAGGAAGTTTGATTAGTGAGAGGTTTGTACTAACAGCAGCACATTGCTTGACTTCAAAACAAATGTAAGTACTGTCTGTCAAATCCATCAAAACTATCGAAAGCCTTTACATTTGCGATTTTGCTGGGATTATGCATAAATAACACTGATAAAGACTGGATTTGTGTCATAAAAATTTTTAGGTGTGTCTTATGTATTTTGAGACCCTTAAATCATACCTAAAATCAGAATTTTTCCATCACCAACAGATATTCGGTAACATCTACTTTTATGAATTACAATACGTAACATCTCATATTGCTACATTTCTCGGCATTTATGCGATGACGCACATATATAATGTTAAGACCTGTCTATTCCTGTTTATTATATGCGAGCTCTATGTTTAGTGAGCATATTGCGTTTATTAGTAGACTAATAGCAGCCGAGTCAGTTACGTTTTCTGTGTTGAAGAGTATTGAGATGTTCTGAGTATTGTTAATTTTTATTAAAACGGTGTGTTGTTTTTAGTTTATTGTGATCGAGACTACCTTTATGGACAATGCCTAGAAATTGTGTAAATAGTGCGAACAGTTTTTGTTATGTGTGCGGAGAGCTAACTTTTAAATCCAAAAAACGTACTTTTACTCCCATTGTGTTGAAAGCATATGAACTTTATTTTGGAATTAAAGTTGGCGACCAAGATAAACTATGGGCTCCTCATATATGTTCTAAGACTTGTGTAACGTTGTTAACAGGTCGGTTAACAGGTGACAATCGAAAAATGCCCTTGGAGAGAACCGAGAGACCATACTACTGATCGCTACTTTTGCCTCACACAGGGTGAACTTAATGACTTAGTTCGAGAACTAAATCTGTCAAAATCCCAGTCAGAACTTTTAGCGTCAAGACTGAATGGATGGAATCTTCTACATGGTGATGTTAACATTACCTTTTACCGAAAACGGCACACACTGTTTCCGTCAAGAAAGGAAGTTGATATATTGCTCCGATGTCAACAATTTGTTTGACGCGTTAGGACAGAAACATGATTCAAATGATTGGCGCGTGTTCATTGATTCCTCTAGGCTTAGTTTAAAAGCGGTATTGGTACACAACGGTAATAAATATCCATCTCTACCTATAGCGCACGCAGTTAGAGCATATCCGTTATAATGAATATGGATGGTCCATACGTGCAGATTTCTTCTTGGAATGCAACTGGAATATACCAAATATCGTTTTTTTCTTTGTGAATGGTATAGTCGTGTGTGAGATCGTCATTATGAACAGAAGGAGTGGCCACAACATAAGGTATTAACTCTGGGTCTCAAAAACATTACTCATGAACCACTAGTTGATCCCAAAAACGTATTGCTTCCACCTTTGCATATTAAGTTGGGACTGATAAAAATTTTTGTGAGAGCTATGGATCGAAATGGAAGAGGGTTTCTGCATTTAAAACAAAAATTTCCGAGACTTAGTGAGGCAAAAATTAAAGAGGGAATATTTATAAATGAAACTGAATTGCGAGCCTGGAATGCTCTTAAATCAGTTACTGCATTTTTTTAGGCAACCTGAAGGCGGACAATTATAAAGATATTGTCAGTGAACTAATGAATGCGTATAAAGGAATGGGATAACATGTATCTAAAAATTCACTTTTTGGATTCTCATCTCGCTTTTTTTTCGGAAAATTTAGGTGCGGTAAGTGATGAACATGGTGAACGGATCCAATCTGCTATGGAAAAACGGCAACTGGAGTGTCAATTTGCTTGGTGATTATTGCTGGACATTGTCAAGAAATACTTCTGGACCAACATATCGCCGTGAAACATCGACAACAACATTCTGAGATTAATGTTTATTCGAGTGTTTATTAGTACTCTTACACACATATAATATGGACAACTACTAGGATTAATTTTTTGAAACCTGCATGCAAATATTGCTATACTGCAAATTTTATATACTCAGGTCTAAAATTCGTCATTTCGGAGCTACATGATTTTTTCAAATCTTTGGGCGTACATTTCTGACAAATTTCAGTCAAGTCAATAGGTCAGACGTCTCATCTCGAAGTAAAAAATTCTAGGTAGCTTTTTTATCAAACTTATAGTATATCAATAGACCTTCAAAATTAGAACTAATAGATGTGACTATTTTACTGCAACAGTTATTGGTTATCACAAATAATCGTATATATTTTGCCGACAAGTGCACAAAAGTAAATATGAAATACTTGCCAAAAATGCTCATGCTATCCAGCGACATAACGTTTGCAACATATTAGGCATGAAGGATGACTTTTTAGTATGTAATTGGTGAATATCGCCATTACAATAAAACATAATCAAAAAAGTTGTTAAACTATGGATAACTATACGTTTCCTACTATACTTGGAAAATCTATCACCCTCTACATCTACAGGATCATTCATAACGACCTAACAACAGAAACACTTTTAGCATATTCTAATATGCCACATCATAAGAAGTTTGGATATAGCATATTATACTAATTCCGGAAATAATTTCTCTTTATTTGATATTTATCTGTTGTTTTTCCATTATTACTTGGAATTTCGTCTTATAGCCAAAAATTGTCTAATAGAATATGTAGAATAATATTTACCTAGTTTCTTCTAGAGATATTTGTAAAACAAATTTGTCGTATTTTCACCATTGTCATCTTCGACACGGTAAGAGATACGTGTCGGTTGAATGGTGGCAAAGTTGCGTAATTATATATTTTAGAAAATTCATTTGTAAAGTTTGGTCGCACCGAGTATCACCGAGGATTCACGGAAAAGGAACGAATTTTCCAAAATCGTTTATAATTGTTTCTGAACTTATTTGAGATAGGATTTCAAAATAAACTGCACATTGACATTGTCACTTGTTGACCTCTTCAAGGTGGCATACACAGAATATTAATATATAGATTTTTCGTCTCTTATCCCCCGTCTCAACTTATTTGTGTATGCCATTTTTGGATTGGCGAATAGTTTTGAATTCCGATTCCAAATATTGTAGCATGTCATATATTAATATTGCAAAACTATAATTATTTAAAAAAACGATATTTCTGAGTAAGTCTTGACATTATCATACCTGAATAGTCGTTCATTTCAGAAACTATCAAATAACATGTTACGGATTTCAACTAATCCAAATAATTTCCCATCTAACAGATTCAGTTTGTGGAGAATCCTGTTCATGAACAATTTAATTTCTATGAAATACGTTCCTTTCGTTTAATTTTTGCCGAGCTAGAGGGCAGCTGATCCCCTTGCCCCCTCTGGGTACGTCCATGGTATCATGACCAGTTTCAAATTATTGCGATCTGTAGATGGGACGAGAGCTATCAGATCTTAATTCTGTTTGCAACTATACTAAGTGACATATAAATCTGAACACCCAGTTTAAATGGTTTTATTTTAATAAAAGTTGGTGAATGTATTTATCTTACTGTAAATAACTAGTGAAAACATTTTCAGCCTTATCAGTTGGACATTCCGGTTTTTATACTGCTTTTTTTAATTCACTAACGCTCTAAAAATGAATATTTCAACCGCATTAAAGAATCAACGTTGGCGGATTTTGGTTCTTGACATCCTTTACGATCGGTTACGATGCCTAGAGTACGGAGACCTGTACGATTTCGTCAACTTAGTGAGTTTGATAGGGGCCGTATAGTGGGACTTCGGGAAGCTGGACTTTATTTTCGGGCAATTGCAGTTAGAGTGCAAAGAAGTGTAGACACTGTGGTTAGGTGTTGTCAGGCATGGCTTCGAGAAGGCCGTACGCAAAGAGCAAGGGGCTCTGGACGCCGCCGTAGAACAACAGACCGTGAAGATCGCCGCCTAATATTATTGGCCTTAAGGGACCGTTTCTCCACTACCAGGTCCATTGCAAATGAATGGTTTGCAGAACACGGAAGACCTATTGGCATGCGAAGTGTTTACCGACGAATGAGAAGTTTTGGCTTGTTTTCATACCGGCCACACTGGGTCCTCCCTTTAACTCGAGAACACCGACGTAATCGCCATGAGTGGTGCAGACAACGGTCACTCTGGGATCAGGAATAGGACAGTATTGTCTTTAGTGACGAGTCTCGATTTTGTTTAGGCATGCACGATGGTCGTGCGAGGGTTAGAAGGCGACGTGGTGAAAGGAGGAATCCACAGTTTTTTGTTGAAAGACATGTTCATCACACTGTTGGAGTTATGGTTTGGGGTGCTATAGCTTATGGTTCCAGGTCACCTTTAATCTTCATCAGAGGTAACATGAACGCGCAGCGTTATATCCACGAAGTTCTAGAACCCCATCTTTCACCCTATCTTGACACCCTGGCAGATCCAGCTTTCCAACAAGATAATGCCCGACCACATGTTGCAAGAGTCACAATAGACTTCTTTCAACATAATGATGTCACATTGTTACCATGGCCACCAAGATCTCCCGACTTATCCCCAATTGAGCACGTGTGGGATATGATGGGTAGGAGATTGCTCAATTTGCAACGTCCTCCTCAGACTCTAGAAGCACTTCGAGAGGAGTTGGTGGTTGCCTGGAATGAGATACCACAGGAGGACATTGATCACCTGATCAGAAACATGTCTAGGCGAGTTGGAGAATGCGTAGCACATCAGGGTGCATCCACACATTATTAAAGGTCAAAGGGCTTTAAAGCAGTGCAATCATTTTGAAATTTTTATCATTTACTTATTATGCTTCATTAAGTACTTATACAAAATTTTATTAAAATAGAACCATTTAAACTGGGTGTTCGGATTTATATGTCACTTAGTATATTTGCGAGGCGGGTTCGAGACACAACAAAATTTAACCGAGTTCAACTGGACCCTTCTGTTCTTAACTGTCAAGTCAGTATTACATATAAGCAATGAACAGCATCCAATAGGCAATAATGTTAAAAATGCACTATATTTTAGCAAACATCAATACCCAATTATGCAAAAATTTATCTACTCCAGAGTTGTGAAATCCTAGCGAATCGTAAATCAGTATACTAGTATAATCAACAAAAGAATCACCTTTCGAATGCACCTTTCGTACTTACTACATACACTTCTTCCAGAGGAGATGTTCAAATAGTTCGTTTGGGTACAACAACTCTTCAAACCGAAACTTTGGAATCTATGGACTACGGAATCTACCGTAAGATTCCTCATCCACGCTACGTAGTTGGACAACAGTACAACGATATTGCTTTGATAGAATTGGATCATCCGGTAAAATTCACAGAATTCATACGGCCAATTTGCCTGGATGATGAAAATGGTTATACTGGACGAAAGCTCATAGCGACAGGTAAAAACTTCATTTTTTCGATACATTTGCTCAAAACCTAAGTACGCAAATTTCACACATATCGTCGGACACACAACGTGCATAGCAGAAACGAAACCCGACTAATACGCCAAACCAAATAGAGAATTACTTTACAATTTTGTAGTAACGTTGTAACTCTACTGAAGTTTCACAGGATCAGTTTTTCAGAGATCTGTTTAATTGCTTCCGCATATAAGAAGGAATCAAGTAAGCTAATCGCGACGATCTCACGGATTTCATTCAAATATTTCAAATAAGACATTGCTGCTTTTCTGAAAATAAAACACATGTTTTAAGCATCTACAGTGCTTTCAAAAAAGAGCTCTCCCCACTTTATTTTTTGAGCGGGTCAGGATAGCAAGCCAAAATTCGACATGATCAAATTGTTGCATAAATACAATTCAAAATTCCAAGATGGCGGCTGGACGCTATTAACATACGAATATGTCAAATTTCTCATAAGGTCTAATGTGAATGTTTTAGAAATTATCTCAGGAACAAGTTAATTCAAATTTCGCAAAAACATATGTCAATACAACAGTTTAAATTTACATTTCTATAAATTGTGAGCAAACTCAAATGCTAGCTTGTCGATTTTAGGTTGGGGTAGAATCCAAGCAACTGGATCTGTGAGCAAGGACCTTCAGAAGGTAGATCTGGATTATTTCCCCATGACGAATGCCAACAAAAGTATGCAAAGGTATCTAAGCAGGATTTACCGTATGGCATAGATACTCAGACTCAGATATGTGCTGGTAGTGAGAGTGAAGCTAAGGATTCTTGTCAGGTAAAATCTTCCAAGATGCCGGCAAATATATAGGATTTATTATCGAAAATGTATCATACTGCATGAAAACTAGGAATAGATGCATTTTGTTTTGGTGCCCTTATATTTAAATCATCCAGGATTGTTATAAATGCATAATTATTAATTGTCGAGATCATCATTTAGAACAGAGTTCCCCAAACTTTTTTGTATCGTAGACCCCTTGCCATGTTTTTCCGTACCTGATATTGATTTCCTGTAAATTTCTAACTGTAGTGAAGTTTAGTGTTAAAAACTTGAAGCAAAAACACATGTTAATTTATACATGTATTAATTGAATTTAAATTGAATCTACTCAAAATATCTGTTATGTAAAATACACGTAACATTAAATAAACAGGTGTCTGACCAATAAGTGCCCGCATTGGGAATAAGTGCCCGCATTGAAAAAAAATGAGGGATAAAATAAAAAAAGTTGAAAAATAATAAAAAAAAGTTTTTTACTTAAAATAGTACAATAAGCGAGTTCGTTTATTAATTATAACATAAACGTATGTTCTACAATCATTTCACTGTTAGTTTGATTAAATTCCGCTTCTTATACGTTTAAGTTATCTAAAAATAGGCAAAAAATTAACGAATTTTAGTGTGTACCTATCCTTGAATTTTCAGAATAATTAAAAAAAAATATTTTCTATAAAGGTTCTTTAAAAAAATCAATGCGGGCACTTATTCCCAATGCGGGCATTTATTGGTCAGACACCAATAAACATAAAATAAACTATAAATAAAATAACATAAGCAATAAGTCAATATTTTTAGTGAGAAGGATGAACCTGATGCTTTAATAATAAATTATCAACATTTGGCGTCAATTTTGTAAGGGTTAATCTTAAATCTCCTCGGCTAATGATGTCCAGTCTGTTTCTCTTTTTCGTTAGGAGATTGGTAACAGCGCTGAACCCTCTTTCCACTAGGTATGACGATGAAAAGGAAATTAAAAATTTCCTCGCTATATTCCATAATACGGGATAAGTAACGGGTATGTTGTTTTGCAGCCAGAATTGCTGATATCCGTTTTTAAACTGAACCATAGGTTCTTCGTTTGTACTTAGTTCAGTCAGTTCCTCTTGTATTATGACATTCGTTTCTTCTATGTCACCATATGGATTAATTATCCACGGTGGTATTACCATAGTCAAAATATCCTCAAACCTAGATTCAAAATCTGAATAGAGGGCATTTAAATGTTGAACGTAAGTTGAAACGTCGTCTTCCTGGCAGCTTGTCTGTGACAAATTGGGGAAATGAGAAAATTCGCGCCCCGTCCAATATTCTGCTTCATTAGTTTAACTCTGGCAAGAAACGCTGATAAAATGGACTTTGTTTTAATCAAATTTAAACTGTCGCCTTGTAATTGCAAATTAACCATATCAAATTTTGTAAACAAATCTATTAAATAGTCGATGTCTGTTTTCCTCTTCACTAAAATTTTCTTTTAAAATTTTACCTTTAGTATCCAGAAATTCTAAAATAGTCTCAAAAAGTGCAAAAAATCTTGTCAAACATAAGCCTTTCGACAGCCAGCGTACTTCAGTGTGAAGGAGTAATTGATGAAAGTGTTCGTCATTTTCTTCACACAACTGCGCAAATAACCGCGTATTCAACGCGTTGCTTCGGATTCGGTTTACTGCATCAATGACTAAATGAAGTGATTCATGCAATCTAACACTCAAATTTTTAGCAACTAAATGTTGTCGATGGATGACGCAATGTATTGCTAACACCCCTGACACATTTTGTTTTAAATAGCTTATAAATCCAGGATAACGTCCACCCATGGCAGGTGCTCCATCTGTAGCTACGGATATTATATTTGATGAAGGAATTGCTTTTTCTATGAAGTAATCCTTCAAAACATGAAATATTGATTCACCTTTAGTGTCGGTTATCAAAGTTCTTGCGAAGAGCAGTTCTTCGTAGATTTCTTGATTCATAATAAAACGAACATATGCCAATAATAATGCTGCATTATCAGGAAAAGTTGACTCGTCCAGTTGTATAGAGAAATGGGTCGATTGCAAATAATTACATAAGAAGCTTTCAATATCAGAACTCATTTCATCAATACGTCTTTCAACAGTATTGTTGCTTAAGGGAATTATTTTAATGATATCAGATGCAGGTTTGTGTAAAACAGTTTTTAAAACCTCTTCAACGGCTGGCAAAATTAACTTCTCTCCGATAGTATGCGGTTTTCCAGATTTTGCTATAAGTAAAGAGATATTGTAAACGCCCGCAAACCATCATCATTTCTTTGTGACGTCGAAGCGAACATTCTGTCCAGTGTAGGTCTCTTCTGAAATTTATCTTTGAGTGTTTGAAAGTATTTCAAATCGTTCTCTGTTTTATCAGGGTGGCATCTTCTCAGATGATCTTGCAGTTTAGATGGTTTCAAAACTTTGTTGCATAAAAGGCACATAGGCGATTGTTTGTCCGGCAATGATGGAATGAAGCCAAATTTCAAATAATCAACACTGTACTGTCTACATTTCTTTTTAGATTCGGACATGGTATCAGTCATCTGTGGGCAAAATTAAATAAGACAGAAAATCCAGCAGCTGTATATTAAAAATATTTTTTGATTTTTCCGAAAACATTCCACAATTCGAACATCTTCTTGCAACAATTAGCTCGAATTACGGAGATTGCACTGTAATTATATTACCGATTGCAAAAAGAAACTATTAAGGAGTACTCGTGTAATTTTGCATGATTGAATATTTAACTACTAATAACTAAAGTCATGATTGGCGTAATTTATCTATCTTTGCTAACTACGAGTACAAAACTAAAATTTAATAAAAAATAATGTACTTACTTTTCTCCAGCACTCTCAAACAAAATAACACTGATTCACTATAATTTGTGTGATATACTATCTGTTTATATTTTTTTAAATATTTCTTAGCACTTTCCTTTTCATGATTCATGAAACGAATAAACGTATTTGTCCCACATTCGTATTTATAGAGTGACGAATTGAACAAGTCAGTGCAAGGTAGCGAAGCTCTGAGACTGCGACTCTCAGGTTTTTACAAGTTCAAAATGTATTGCGACCACAAAGCGAATACCAACATCCTACAACTTACACAATTTTATAAACATATATAATAAATTTTTTACTTCATAGGTACTTTTATAAATAATGTATATGTTTTGATATTATAAGATAGTATGATGTAAGTAAATAGGTGCTATCAGTGTATGTGTTGAGATCCACTATCGTGGACCCCCATATTCATTTCATAGACCCCCAAATTTTATTTCGCTGACGTAGACCCCTTGCAGATTGTCATAGACCCCTAGGGGTCGATATAGACCACTAGGGGTCGATATAGACCACTTTGGGAATCAATGATTTAGAATTACGGCGACTGAATTTGCACATCCGCCATTTTTTAAGTTCTCACAGTTTACAAACTACACAGATGGTAGCTTCTGCCGAGCTTCTGACTGACTCCAACAACTTATATCGGATTTAGTTTAATAATGTGAGCTATTCCTCGGACTATCCAAATGAACATATTTAAAGTCCTGGTCTGTTGGAGGTGAACTGGCGCCACTGGGCAAGAAAGTATTGTAATCGCGAAAAATTTCTAAAATGAGATATACGAGCCCCTTCCCACTTCAGTTGGCCCACTTTAAGATTTGTACCAAACTAAACATGACGAAACTATTTACTTCTAAAACAATTTATTTTCTCAAAAACGTTTAGATACACTCTAGTCGTAAAAAATACATATTTGAAATCACTTAGACCTATAACTAATAGAACATCTAAACAAATAAACAATGTGGGAATAAATGCGCGAATTTAACAAAGCAACAATTGAAAGATTACCATTGGGTAACATCACCTTTATTTTTTATTACGGCAGAAATTCTTTGGGGCATAGTCTTAACCAAGTCTTGGCAAAAATTTGGTGTAAAACAATCCCATATTTCTTGAAGCTTTTGTCTCCGTTCGGTGATTGTACGAGCAGGATGTTGTCGTAGAACCTTTTTCATATCGTGCCACAAAGTTTCAATAGGTGATAGATCTGGACTGTCCATTTCAAAAGTGGTACATTATTTTCTTCCATCCATTTTATAGCCTTTTTTGAGGTATGGCACGCTGCACCATCTTGCTGAAACACAAAATCTTGGCCGGATGTCAAACACTCTTCCATCACTGGTAAAAGCGATTCTTCTAAAATGGCCAAATATTTGTTTGTATCCACATTTCCATCAATAAAATGAAGTTTTCCTACTCCTTTTGATGACATACTGCCCCAGACCATAATGGATGCTGGAAATTTCACTTTTCTCTTCAGACAGTCAACATGGAATGCTTCATTTTTTTGCGAATAACTCTACTGCGACTGTCACCAACACAAACTTCGAATCGGGCCTCATCACTCCATTGTATTGCACTGCATTGTTGAGGTGTCCATTGTCTATGTTCTTTAGCCCATCTAAGCCGATTTTTCTTTTGCAGTGGAGTAAATAGTGGCTTTTCTTTGGCCTATAAACAAGTTGTGCAACTTTAGGGTTTTTGCTTCACTTTTTTTTATAAGAAAACTTACCTTGCAAGTGCTAAATCTCAGTTTGTGGGCCGCTCTATGAGTTGTGGACCTCGAAATTCTCCTTCCAACAGCGTCACTCAACAGAGCACTTAATTGTAAATAATTGGCACGCCTGTTTTTCACGATTATTCTTCTTGATGCTCTTCGGTCGGCATTTGTGATTTTACCTTTTTTCACATATCGTGGCTTAATATTAACTGAACCAGTTACGTTATATCTTCTAACAAAATTTTTCACACTGTACCGCGATAAGTCTAACAAAGTTGCAATTTCTGAGTTTGATTTCCCAGAATTAAAAGATTTAATTATCAGTAACCGAATTTTCTCACTAATAACCTTAACTACCCAAAACTATTTTAAACGTATTCTGACAGCTGTAATTAATAAAAACAATTGTCATGGCTTTTATTTTTCACAGCCACCTATGCGTTATAGACTTATTTTGCATTGAAATGAAAATAGGTTGATATGCTGTAATTGCAACATGTGTTATTTTTATGCTGCAAATTTGATTAGGGAGTGATAAAGTTGTTGTTTTTTACTATATATTATCAAAATATTCATTGTTAATATTTTAAACCTATAACACCCTGCTACATTTTTATTATTTGTGTTTGATAAGAAAAAAACTAAGGTTTCAATAGTTGGGCCAACTGAAGTGGGAAGGGGCTCGTATATGACATTTGTCTGTCCACTAATCTTTGACCCCGCCATAACTTGGAAAGTATTGGCCGGATTATGATGAAATATTCACAAAGGATTACTACTATGCCAAGGACGAAAAAGCCAATTTGTGAAAATCGACCCAGTTATGGCAAACAGAAACGTCAAATAAAAAAAAAAACTTCTTTTTTGACGTTTCAGAGGATCTTGATGATCTTTGAAAAATCCTTTTTAGGTAAAAATTGGCGGGTTGTGGGGATGTAGGGAGGTGGGGGAGGGTTTATCGCAATTTTTTGATGTTATAGTATATTAAAACACTTCCAACCCCGATATCTTGAAACGGAACAAGTTCATTTCCGAGTTGCTCCTAGTATATGCTGCAGATTAGAGTTCTTTCGTTCTACTGGGTGAGTACTGGAGGTTTGTTTAAAGTATGTTTCCAACTACCCAAATTTCTCCCCAAGCTCAAATCCCGGAACTCCAAAATTAACTTCATTTTTCCATAGCTCAACTTCAGAAGTTTTTGTTATTCAACTCATTATTCTTGTATCAATTGTGTTTCATGAACTCCCACCTGCAGCCTTTCATCTGAAATCGAATTTTCTCCCAACGTTGCACTTTTCCGATCTGCGAATTTCCGGTGTCATCGCAGACTAGAACGCCTCTAGCATCTGCTCCCAGCTTATGAGTCAGATTCCCTAACTCCTCGCTTTATGACTAGCAACTTACACCTTTTGCTCGAGGTGATCCCACAACTCCGTAATGGGCGATAATCCTTGGGTTATTCTATCCACGTTGGAAGAGGAAAGTACTATTGCTGGCCCCCTTCTCTTCCCAATCTCATAACCCTTCAGGTCACATACCTTTTCATCAGAACTCCAATGCCATTTGTAGGAATGGAAAGGCGCCAATTCCATCAATCCGGCTGATCGTCCATCGCATGTTAGAGAGGTTAACCAGTCAGTGCAATGCTCAGCGTCTGCAGTTGGGGATTTCCGTAAATTGCTCCACGATCGCCCCCAAGACTCATTCTGAGGGTGCGTCATCCCTAACCACGCCCTGAATAGGTTATGTCCGCTGACCAACCTTATCATCACAGAAGATGTCCTTAGCTCTCCCATACATCCACAGGGGTGGCCCCAGACACGACGGATTGGAATTAGTGCAGCTTTTGTGACAGGAAGTTCCAATCATATCCTGGCACAAGGTTGCACACAAATAAAGCCAGCCTATCGAGTCCTACAGGAAGTTGGCATTCGGAAGCAGAAGTTTCTATGAGCCAAGATCAAGCATCAAACAAACGCGTTACCACAGGGACAAGCCCATCAACAAGGAGTACCTCGCCCTAGCCAAATAGCCAAAGAAGAGACTCATAGCTGGCAAGGAGTTAGATTCGCCGTCACAGTGGAGGATAGCAGACTTTAGCAAGCTAGTCATTCAGCCAGCGATGGGGATCTGGCACCAAAAAGCCAACACAACTTACTCCCTACTGATCGGCCACTCCCTACTGAGCGGGGCCGTGGCAAATGCTTGTTCCGGAAGTTGTTGTATCCAGTATACAACTTCTTCCCGTTCAAGTGATTGTATATGCATTAAGGAATACCACATTACCGATTGCCGGGTGGCGGTACAAGTCCGCCAACGGGCCACTTTAGTTCTGTTTAATATCATTAACATGTAAAAAGTAGGTGGTAGAGAAGGACCAGTCGACCGAGGCGGTACCACCCGCTAGCTTTTCCCAGGGTGTCTTATAAATGTGCGCATGTTTCCACACCTAAGCTATGCATTCGGTTATCTTCCAAAACAAAGAAATTAATGATGATGGATCCCTCGAGCACTAAGAACTCCGGACGTAAACTCACTCCACTCTCTGAATGTCCGGGTGGAGGGTGGTCTCGAGGGAACAACATCGAATATAAAATTTGTTTTTCGAACAACTGCGGGATTAACGACAAAAATCTCAGAGTCTGCACCGATTAACCATCTTAACTTCCCAAACTACGAGGTGCACTCCAATCTGAGAAAGAACGGGGGAGTTGTGGCTTTTGTCCGCAGTAGTCTTTCCTGCTCCAGAGATGTTTCTTTGGAATCAGCCGTGGCTTCGCCTCCCAAACATCACCCAAATTTATCTGCTGCCTTTATCGCTCTCCCTCGGACCATAACTGGGATGACGTACTCGAATACATCGCCG